ATCCACACAAGCACTGGGTACAATCAGAAGCGTGGGAGGGTGAGAAAATTCACCAGAGCCAGAGCGGGGAGCAGAACAGGCAGACTGACGAAATACACTGCTGAGGGGAGCAGCGGGCGCGGCAGGAGAGGCCTGTGCGCCATGTGGGACCCTCGCCCGGTGGCCGGGGATCAAACTGGCGCTGCAGAGGCTGCGGGCAGCTTCAAACCCAGCGCTCAACTGCTGTGCCACGGGGGAGACTCTTACCACAGCTTTTGAACTTACTCCTAGAAGTCCTTTTTTTCCTTGTTGTAGAACAGCTCCCATTTTCTTTCACTTTCTCCTATCACTTCTTCCTTTCATTTCTGATCCCTCTCCTGGGGTTGCTTCCCTCCCAATCCTGCTCACCTGAGGCAGAGTCAAGAGCTGGTGCACCTCTCCAGCCTGGGGAGCAAGGCTGGAGCCCACGCAGGATCAGACCCAGCCCCGCCCACTGTTTTGGGTGAAGAGAAAGGAAGGGCTGTTTCTCTGGACTTACTCTGTTCCTTTGACGCCTCTCTGCTTTCTCCTTCTCCGAGCTCTGTGCTGGTCCGAAATAGTCACCTGGCTGTTATTAGTACTTTTTATTTCCCTGTTTACATAACCTACCTGTTACCTGTCCTTAGTTCCAAAGTCCTTTTATCCCGACTCTCCTCCACCCTCAAATGGATCAGAAAGCACAGTCGTAAATTTTGAATGTGTTGGGAAGACTTTTCTTTCCTCTTCTTCTCTTTATTTTATATATTTCTTACATCATTTTTCATTTTGCACAATGTGTGCCTTTTCATCGTGGTTATAGTCCCCGTACAATTCCCACCACCCCCTTGTTTTGATCCTACTCCCTTCTCCCCCCTGTAGTGTGTCCCTGGTTTACAGCTGCTTGTTGATTTTGATTTTTACTTTATTATAATTAGTCTTTTTCCTGGTCCCTTATTTAGGTTTTCTAAATTCCTGCTATGAGTGAGACCATCCAGTAATTCTCTTTTTCCTTCTGGCTTATTTCACTGAGCATGATCCCTTCCAGCTCCATCCATGTTGCTGCAAATGGCATGAGTTTATCTTTTCTGATACCCATGGCAATTAAGTGCTTGTTTTCTCTGGCCCCTTTGTACTTCCTGATACTTATTAGTGTAAATATCCTATTGGGTTACACTTGACGATACAAGGCACACACCACATGCTATTTGCCATACAAGTTTGACAATAGCCAGGTGGGCTTGTATACTACTCAGGCTGCTGAGCGTCATTAAATGTTTTGCTCGTGCTTTCTGGGCTTGTCTTTCAAAGGATAGTTAAAAAAAAAGTCTCAACATGTGTTACACAGTCTGAGGAGTCACAGCCTGCGTCAGCCATGGCGGCTCCACGTTCACCAGACACGCCCCGCCCTGCAGTGAGAGGGATGGGACCAGAGGCAGTTTTCTGGGAAGAGGGATGCTGGGGCATGGGCCACTCAGACTGGAGGGTCCAGTGAAGCAACCGAGGCCCAGTCCTATAAACTGGATCAGAGTGAGGACCCGGCGGAGGCGGGGGCCAGAATGCTTAGGGCTCCTGTTAAATCCATACAAATAAGACAGAATCGAGACCTCAATCACTGGTGATGACGCCACGTAGCTGTGCATTTGACAACAGTTTAGGACTGGTTCAGAAGCAATACTGTATGCATTTAGGTACTGAATGGCTTTGCATCAACCTCCTTTATAATTCTTACAAAAATCCTGGAATAGACTTAACTGCCATTTTATACATGGGCATCCCAAGTCTTCCCAAGGTGAGTGATCTGATTGTAATTACACATTTAGGAGGTGGTGGAGGGTCTGTGTCCCACGTGAAACTGAATTCAAATCCTGTTCTGACGCGTGCCGTCCGCAGGGCACCGGGGCTGAGTCTGCAGGGTGCGCGAGCGTGCTGGACAGCCAGGGCCATGCTGACCAAGCAGGGCACTAGAGTCCAGCCTGGGGTGGGGGGGCGCTAAGTCCAGGGAGGGTGCAGACAGGCAACCGTGACACGAGGGTGACAGATTTCACCACCAGGTGTCCTTCATGGGTAATCTTTGCTCTTCTGTTTTCAATTTCTTGCATGTTTGGCTCAATGATACTTCTATTCTTTTTCTGAAACATCAGGGAGTTACCTTGGAACCTTGAAGAGGTGAGAGAACACGTCCCTCTGCTTCTGCCCTGACCCCAAGCGGCTCAAAGTGTCAAATGGTTGGGACTTGTATAACACGGCTGCACAGTATGTCTCCTTGGGTCAAGTATATTGGGCCTGTTGGATGAATGTCACCTGGAGACCTTGCAATGGTTAAGGAGTCATTGGTTTGGGGACTCTAGTTAGCACCAGGAATGTGCAAAGGAACAGAACACATTTTGAAATGCATTAAGTACTTACTGAGGGCAGCTCCATTATTCTCTGCGCTGATGAGCGGAGGCATCAGAAAGTACGTCTCCCACCCTGGCTTCTGTGCCTTGCAGCTGTTCTTCTTCCTGTCATTATGGATGAAAGTGACAAACCCAGAGGGGTACACAATGATTTTCTTTATGCTCTCACACTTCCAAATCCTTGAAATTGTGTTTATAATTCAAAAGTAAATTTCAGAAGCTATTGAAACTGATAACCAATTGCTTTAATTTTTTATCTTAATTACTTGAATTCCATAGAAGGAACTTGGAATTTGGTCCTCAAAGTGAGCCATGTTAGAAATCATGCGAGAGTTTAAAAAAAAAAAAAATCTGCTCAAGATGAGCCCAGATCAATGGTTAGACTCACTGACCTGGCACTCAGGAACCAGGAGCCTTCAAAACTCCCCAGGTGGTCCTAGTGCTCTGCTGTCACCGAAACCCAGCAGTGGACAAAGGCCAGGCGTCCTTACTTCTTTGAATGTTAAAATTCCTACACAAAACTTAATTCAGATTGAGTCTGTTTCTTTTTTTTCTCATTCAATGATACCCTTTTTTCAAATTAGACTTTCTCAGAGTTTTTCTTTCTGTTTTTTTTTAAAGATTTATTTATTTATGCATACAAGAACTGGGGTGCAAGTCAGAGGTGTGTGGGGGGGGTGAGAGGATTCACCAGAGACAGAGTGGGGAACAGAACAGGCAGATGCACTAAAATACACTGCTGAGGGGAGCAGCGAATGAGTCAGGAGAGGTCTGCTGTGCCATGTGGGTCAGCTCCCTGGCCGAGGTGGGGGGGGGGGCGTGGTTTGAACTCTTGTGTCTTTAACCCCTGTGCCACCAGGGAGGCCCCCTCAGAGATTTTCTAATTATAAAAACTTTCAGAAAGGCCCAGGAAAGAGGAAGTATCCAAAAGCATCCCTGGCTGTCTTACACCGGCCAACAAAAGGTCTATAAATAATACATCCTACACACAGCCGATTATTTTGACAATTCAAGTTCACTTAAATTTATGTGTCCATTTCATTTAAAAGCTTTCATAAAGTTTTCTGCCATCTTGTGACTTGGATTGTTCCTGTAATAAACTTAGATTCACTGCAGCTGTTTCCTGCAAAATGCAAAAGCATAACTTGAACAAGTTTCATTTCCTATAAAGATAAAAGCAGAGATCTCTGGGCAACTCTTTAAGAGCAGAAACTGATGGAAAATGATGCAAGCTCTTTATGCAAAGTGAACTTTTGATGCTTCAAGGCTAGCAACTTCTCTTTTCCTTGATCTTACCTGGTCCCTGGAGTAATGTTAGTCTTGTCATTGATGCTGCAGCCCATACATTTGTCCCCATGGCATTGCACCATAATGGCTTGATGAGCAAGAACTTTGTCAAAGCCTCACCCAATTGTTATCACTTATTATATTGTCAGTAAGTTAAAAGTGATAGAAATAAGCCCCAGCCCTTAAGTGAGCAGATGTGTCCAAACTTTGCAACATCCTGTTGAAAGCAGATGAATGCATCTGAATGGTGTAAACTCCACAAAGGCAGGGATTTTGTCTGTGCTGTCACTGCTTCTATCCTCACACTTAGAAGAGTGAATATTTAAATTTGTTAAGTGAATGTCTTGTACCTGTCTGTGCCTACAGGTTTTAGATCTCACACCATTCCCAGGTAATTCCTCACCCCACTTCCCAAACTACTGAATCACCTCCCTCCTCCCTTTTATGACCAAACACCCCAAAAGCAGTCAGCTCTCAGCTTCAATGTGGCCCCAGCACTTTCACTTTTCAGCGAATTGCACTGCCTTCTTTCCATAACACATTTCTAAAATTGTTTGCCCTAATAGCTGAATCCAGTAGCTTCTGTTCAATTTGCATTTTTAGAATTTCTCAGCTGCTTTTGCTTTCCTGCCTCCTGGTCCTGTGAGATACTTGTCCTATTTCAGCTTCCAAGACAGGGCACGCTCTTTAGTCTATGCTGTGTTGCAAATTAAGTAGCTTCCTGGGTATAATTTGAAGCCACCATGGAGGCCAAAGACAGAATTAAGAGAAAGGTTGAACACTCCATTTTGAGAGGTGACAGGTTTGTTTTTTTTTTCCAATACAAATTTTATTGGCATTAGATTGGTCTAAAAAATCATATAGTTTCAGGTGTATGACATCATTTGAGGGGGTGTGGAGGCTCTGAGAATGTGCCACTGCGTCAGCCTCAGAGAAAGATGTTTGAAATTGGTTGATAATTGCATCTCATTGTTACTATCTTTCGCTTTTCTTAAAACCAATGTGCAAAAGGAACTCCACCAAAGGTTCAGATGTGGTAGGAATGAAAGACGGTTTAGGGAACAGGACAGATAATTATCTCTTCCAACAGGTGCACGGAGTACATGTTGGTGAGGGGAAAATTAATTACTGCTGCTGCTACACCTTATGCAAGGAAAGGGCCAGAAAGAAATCATGGTCCGAAGCCCTTCTACCATTCCTTTTATGTGATTTGCTGTCCTAAACAAGAAACATGGAGACACAAGTTGCTGCAGTGGGTATATTCTCTGACTGTAAGAAGCAGGGGCAGCTGTGCTTCCTCCATGCAAAGCTCAGAGAGCGGGTTGGGGAGGATATGTGCAGAGGGCCTCAAGAAACGGGGTGAGTCTACCTCTTAGAAGCGGTGAACACTAATGCTTAAAACGGGGAAGAAATTAGAGTTTCAAGGGGTGCTTTCATTTTCTATTGGTAAGGACTCCTGATCTTGGGGAGGTTCTGGGAAGTTTACTTCTGTTTCTTCTTCTTCTTCTTCTTGGATTGGAATAATCTCAATCTCTTCTTCATTCTTGGGTTGGGAAGACACTTCAGTCAGCTCAACCATTTCTTCTTTCAATTCAACTACCTGTTCTTTTTTGTCTTCCGCTGACAGGAGAATCACATTCTAGAACACAAAATCAAACACGTTTTTCTGGACCTTCACCATTGACACGTTGCTCAACAATCTCTGTAAATATTTATCAAATTCTTCCTGTTTTTAAGCTATTTATGTTATTTCTTATGTGCCTCCCAGATGCGCAAATCCTTTTTCAATCACTTTCAAATCTCATGCTCAAGACCAGGGACACTCATTATTTTGCCTGGAATGATCACACAGTATCTAGGAAAGAACATTCCATTAATAGAGGAATTGAAATTCTATTTCTGATTTGCCTTTATTGGAGCTAACCTTGAGAAAGTAATTTGCTGTCTCTAGTCCTATTTTCCTCATCTGCAAAATAAAGGCATTAATGGTGATTTAAAAATTCTATTCTAAATCCAACATTCTTGGTGCTGAAGCAGTGGATAATACTTCTATCACTAGGAGATTCATATCTCCCAGTTGTGGGGTTTCTTTGAACCTATGGTTTCAGAAGAGGAATTAGATGGAAAGGTGGGGTTGGGGAAGGCAGGAGCACTGAGGAATGAAGTGGAAGGACTAGCGACTTGAATCAGTCTTCAACCTTCAGCCATCTTGAAATCTAAGCACAGAATCCAAATCCTACTTCACAGTAAGCACACGGATCCACACTAAGCATAGAATCCTGAACTTGAGACAGAACTCAGCTCTTAAGGAGACATACCCTGGGCAGAACTGTATCCCTGGTTTAACCTTTAGGCTGGTTTCAAATTTCAAGACATTTCCCTTCATTATTGGTAGTTTCTGCTTCCCAGAAACACACCAAGACCATTTCATGGAGCTTCCAGTCTCCAAGACTCATCAGATCAAGTTCTTTGTAAACCTCAGCAGACGTGACTTTCCTAGTGGGAGGTCGTGGGCAGAGGGACTCCCACTTACAGCTTTGGGCCTGGAGCACATCCTCTTCCACTCAGTCTCAACGGTGCCAGCAGTCACGAGTTTCTGGAGGAAGACAAAGACCAGCATGACTGCGAAGATGCCCTGCAGAAAAACAGAAGGAGGGTGAGGATGTAACCAGGGCTGGAAGAACCTGACTGGTGCTCAAGAAATGACTGCTCGTTACATCAGATGATTAAAAGAGATGTTCTTTAGTGGAGTAATGACTGACTGTGAGAGCTACTGCTGGGTTTATAGCCCTGTTCCTTAGCACAGCGCTGGCACGGCACAGAGAATTAATGCCTATGGCTGATGGAGAGTAAGGTGATCATAATTGGTCAAAGAATCAGTTCTATGTAGGAAAGAATTATTACTGAGTTCCAGATTAGCTTGTATCTCCACACTTGGGACATACATTTTTCTTCCCCTTCCAACCCTACACAAGGAGTCCAAAGACTCCTTGAGTCAGAAGATCTTCATCACAAGCTAAGTAGTTCTTCCCCATTTATCTCAGTCAATAGTAATAAGTACCAGTGCCATCAATGATACTATTATCAAGGATTCATGTTAAAGGAAACATTTACATAGCTCTTTCTATGTCCCAGATGCTCTCCTAAGTGCTTTGCATGTAACAGCTCATTAAATCCTCAGAACAGCCCTACAAGGTCAATGCTGTCACCATCCCCATTTTACAGTTGAAGAAACTGAGGCTGAGTGAGGTTAAAATTTTTGTCCTAAAGCCATATAGGCAACAAATAGCAGAAAGCCTGGATCCAGAGTTGATGTTCATTATATAAAGGTCAGACTTCCCCCTTGCAAAGAAATCACCTCTCACACTTACCAAGAACACACATCTTATGCTGTAACAGTATTGTGTTGACAGAGAGTTTTTCTCTGCAGGGTTAGCTTGTTCACAATTATAGATGTTAAGATATGGAGTGGGAACTTTAATAAGATTCAGACTCTCCATTTTAAAAAAATGGGAAATTGTGATATTAAATACATCCATGATCAAAAAAATGATTCCAGAAATGGCAGCAAAGAGGCTGAGTGAGTTCATCACCATTTTCCCTTTCACCTGAAAAAGACACACAAAGATTAATAAATTGGGTTTGATTTCCATTTGGAGAACATAAGCTGGGAAGAAATTCCTGATGCCTTTCCGCTGACTTGCAAAGGCACCACACCTAAGTCTTACTAAAATTCTTCCCTTGGGGGTTTTTAATCTTGTTGTCGCTATAAAAATAAAGACTTTTATCTCTCAGTTCTGTCCCTTTCTCAGTTTCCCCCATCTTATTTTATGCGATCATCATCCAATTAATTGATCAGAAAAAAATTCTCCGAGAGACCCTTCATCTTGGATCCTTCTACTTCCTGTTCCTGCTGCAACCTAGGAGATGTCAATAAATACCTGTTGAGTAAGTGAAATTAAAGGGTATTCAGATGACAACTGTTTATATAAGAAGGTGGAGGGGAACAAGGAGGAGTTTCTTCCATCCGTGAAGTGGGAGGGAAGAGCAAACAGCTCACCAGGTCTCTGCCCTCCAGAAAACAAAATAACATCTACTCTCCAGAGGACTGATTGTAATCAGCCCCCCTCAACCACCTTTCCAAATACAAGTGGGACTGAAGCCTGTGGGTGCCAAGGCAATTGTGAATGTTCTACTTAGCCAGGGTGAAGGATTAAAACACGGCAATGGTGTGGATTAATGATTACTTTAAGACACACCTATTTCATCCCTGGCTATGTAACCGACACAGGGTGAGTCAGTAGGGCTGGCTACATTTAGAAAATAAAACAACCTGATCTTCATCAACAATTTTTCCTTCCAAAAGTGAGTTTTTCAAATATCAGATGATTTCACTTATAGGAGGAATATAGGAAAACCAAATAAGACAGCAGGGGAAAAAATAATAACAGTACAAAACACAACACAATCAAAACAGACAACTATAAACCAGAGACATCCTGCAGGGGAGGCGGAGGGAGAGCGATCAAAGGGTACGGGGGAGGAGCCCACGGGACTAAGGTGATGGTGCACAGGTGCATTGGTGAAGGAAATTCTAGGGGACTACACCTGATGGAGGTAAACATTGTTTAAAAATGAACAATGATGTAAAACATATAGAGATAAAATAAATAAATAAGTGCGTTTTTCAGACCACCGTGCATGAGAGGAACCTTCTCAACCCACTCAGTCCCTCGCTGACTTTGGGAGTGACTCCATTGGGAATAACTTAGTAAGAACAAAGATGCTGGAAGATGCTGGGGGAGGAAATCTACTGGTGAACTCTTGACCCACTGGATTTGGGAGCTGTTCGCGGGTATAAAATTGTCCCTAGAGGTGGTAGGAACTGGGCCATTCTGTGGCTCTGTAGGGCCTCTGAGGCACCTGCATGTATATTACTCCATTTCATCCTCACGACAGTGTCATAGGCTGCAAGGACCATTCTCTCCATTGTGTAGGGGGCAATTCAGAGGTGCATAGAGATGAACTGGCTCAAGGTGACAGCTCAAGGTCAACCAGAACTTGAGTTAATCATTCATGAGACAGTTTTCCTCAATGGCGGGATGGGGCTCTGGGAGAAAGGACATCGCTTTTGAAGATGGCTGGTGTCACCCAGCATCTAAAATCTGGAGACCATAAGCAGGCTCCCCCTTCATGCCCCTTCCATCCTGCTTCTATGGACATGTTCGAGGTAGTTCTCATTTCCGGCTTTACTTTTTAAGGAATAAAATAAATCACAATGGCATTGTAGAAGATCTTTTCCTTGTAAGGGTTGAGAGATACTCTCTGCTACTACAACGCCAGGGGTCTTTAAAAGTCCTTGTTCTCAACTGAGAAAATAGCCATTTCTCCACCATGTGGAAAAGGGCGTAGGATCACTGTAAGGTAAATGAAAAGTATCAGGCTTTTCTGCCCTTCCACCATTAGGATTGATGATGGATCCTTGCAGTCCTGAATGCATGCCTGATGGCGGACACCTAGAGTAGGGTGTGGGCATATGTAGATGGGATTCACCTGGGCTGAGAGACGGTTTTTTTTTTTTTAATTTATTTATGCAAGCACCAGGTACAATCAGAAGCGCGGAAGGGTGAGAATTCACCAGAGCGGGGAGCAGAACAGGCAGACTGACGAAATACACTGCTGAGGGGAGCAGCGGCCGAGACAGGAGAGGTCTGCACGCCATGTGGGACCTCGCTGGTGGCCGGGGATCGAACCAGCACTGCAGAGGCTGCAGGCAGCCTCGCAGCCCAGCGCTCAACCACTGCGCCAGTAGGGGAGGCCCTGAGAGACTGGGCTTATAAGGGCGGAATCATGGGGAGGCCAGCAGAACCACTGAAGAAGCAGAAGCAGTACCACGAGAACAGAAGGAGCAGAAAGAGAAGCAGAGATCCCCAGAGAATGCGGGAAAGCCCAGACAGAGTGAAGACTTGCTGTTTCTCCATTACTCAGACTCCGCCGCATTCAACCCATGCCTTTGCTTCAGCCAACTGGGACCCGTGTTGGCAGAAGATCAGAGGCAGAACTCACATTTCTGCATCAGTTAATATGCACGTGATGAATATAAAGGTTTTATTTCTCGGCTTTCTTTTTGTAAACTTGTGGGAGGCTGGCAGCCTCCCAGCCCCCTGGCACCCCTTGCCAGCCATGTACCTGGTAAATCCCAATAAAAGCCTGAAAAGCCACCGAGGGCTCCAGGACTCTCCTCCTTTATCCCGTCTGCTCGGATCATAGAGAACCTGCTCTGTCCCTTCCTGCCCCTGCAATTACTTACCAGACTTATCCTGGAGCTTTGCTCTGCTGCTGCCAGGAGTGATCCAGAAATGATATACTGTCAAAAAGAGATGGCGAGGAGGTAGGGGCAGGGGAGGGAGGGAAAATCGAGAGGGAGATCACATCAAACGGAGAGCGGCTTGTAAAACCACGACCCACACCTGCAGCCACTTTCACTAAACTATCCAATCACCTTGGTCAGATTCACTCAAGTCCCGTTTCTCCATTACTCAGACTCCACTGCATTCAACCCATGCCTTTGCTTCAGCCAACTGGGAACCGTGTTGGCAGAAGATCAAAGAGGCAGAACTCACATTTCTGCATCAGTTAATATACACGTGATGAATATAAAGGTTTTATTTCTCAACTTTCTTTCTGTAAACTTGTGGAATTGCTCTTTGGCACTTAAAATGATTTAAAGGATTTGATGCCACCGAAGGGTGAACTGGAGTGGAAGGAAATACAGGGCCTGAACTTCCCGGCACTTGGTGAAAATGTTGGCGGTACAGGAAGTGATGGTGGTCATTCCCTTTTTTACTGTTCAATTGACAAAACAAAATAGAGGAAACTTGTTATAATCCAGCTCTCTGTTCTGAAGACTCCCATCCCGGCCGCTAGAGCAGCAACTCTGAAAGTGGTCTGGCAAGGCAAATCCACGGCCCCGTAGGGCTCCAGTGTGGAAATGTGCACACGAAATCGCCGCGAGGACTGCTCTTGAGGAGCCCAAGGAGGCATTTTTGGGACAGGACTGAGTTCACCAGATGCATAATAACTAAGCAGAAGTGTAGGGAAGGGCCAGGTGGGGGATAGTGGGATGTTCCTGCTCCCTCTTGCTTTCTGAAAACCCATGTTCATACAGTCCAGATTCCAGCCCCCCCCCAAAAAAATCGACATTGGGGAGGTCCTGCTTTGACAGGTCTTCCTTCCCCAGTAGCTTTTTGTGGGACATTTTCCTCTGAAGCCACATAGACGTGGCCACTGGCTCTGAACCATGGGATTCATACTTAGTCAAACTCTTTCTTCTAAATCACTTTAAGCAGATAACCTATTTCCTACCCAAATACTTTCCTCAATGCAGAAATACTCTGGCATATTCCTGTGTCGCTTTACACAAATCTTGGCTATATCATTCCCCAAATGGTTATTTTTTAACTCACCATAATGCCCCCCCAGAGAGGGTACCAGACAACCATGCAGATGGGGCTGTATAACTCCGCGTGGGTCATCAGGAGGCCGCCCAGGGCAAGGTGGAAGAGCCCGTTCATGATCTGCACGGCCTGTGGAGGGTAGGGGCGCTGGTGGGTGAACTGAACAAAGTCAGAAGGCAAAGGGAAGACCGGAAGCCCTGGATCCTGATGTGGGCTGGGTGGCGAAGGCGCCCAGACCCCTGTCTTGTTCAGATCCACCCCCAACATCCAGGCATCCCAAGGCACCTGTGCCTGGGATGCTGGGGACAAAGCTGGGATGGGCGAGCCCTGCACAGGTGAGCTTCAGAATCAAAAGGCGGCATAAGGCCGCTGAGACCACCGGTCTGCTAATCCCCAGTTTGGGCCGCTGTGTCAGAGGTATGGACCACTGCAGGTGGGGCCCAGTACCTTCGAGGTGGACTGGCTTCTGTACCTGGCCTAAGTGTCTCCTCTGAGGGCCAGAGAGTGCCTAGGAGAGGAGTGAGGGCAGCAGACTTACCCCCAAGGCCTTAGCTTCCCTCATGAAGAAGCTCTGTGTGGGGCCCACCATGGGAGGCATCTTCCTGGGAACCAGCTTCTGGGCCGGGTGCATGGCAACAGGGCCTCTCGCAGGCTCTGCCGGGAAAGCTGCACTCATGGAATTCCTGGGTGTTGTCATCCCACTCTCGAACCCCCTAAAAGTAAAACATAATAAAAAGGAGCAAACGAGGACGGGTTGTCAGCAGTCTGTCACCGGGTGCCGGCACCTGAATCCTTTCCTCCTCCTCCCCCCACGGGAGACGTACAGACAGACAGGCCAGCATGGTGACCTCCACAAAGATAAAACACATCCAAACACGCCTGTAGAGGATGCCAGCAGGGACCCTGGACCCCCAAGTCCCTGCCTGTTCTCCCCTCATTTCTGGCTGCTTTGCTTTAATGTTGGAGAAAGTATTCTATACTCACTTGTCCTCACCCCTTGCTTGGCTGGTTTTTAAAAAGATTTATTTTATTTATTTATGCATACAGGAGCTGGGGTGCAGGCCAGAGATGTCGGGGTGGGGAGAAGATTCACCAGAGACAGAGTGGGGAGCAGAACAGGCAGATCTACTGAAATACACTGCTGAGAGAAGCAGCGGGGAGACAGGAGAGGTCTGCTGCGCCAAGCGGGTAGCTCCCTGGCCAGGGATCGAACACATGCTGCAGTGGCTGCTGATAGCTTCACAGTGCTGAGACTTAAGCCCTTGGACCACCAGGAGCAGCAGCAGATTATGGTGAGGAATTGGCCTTGGAATCCAGAGGGGCTGAACCCTGTTTTCCCTCTGCCTCCAGCTATGTGACCTTCCACTTGCTGTGATGCTCCAGGCAAGTTCTTCAAGGTCTTTTCAAGTGTAAAATAGGGTTCCTAAGGAAACTGGTCTCCTGGGGCTGCTGAGACACCTGAAGGGATTGGTGGGCTTTGTCTTTCTGCAGGTGGGACTCAGAGGGCAGCTCCACAGAGAAGCTTTCCCTGAGCCCACCTTCTGCCGTATCTCTTCTTTCTCCCCAGCACCCCATGATTTGAATCATGTCTCAAGCACCTACCACCGGGGAGAATTTTTACTCTGATGATTTACTTATTTATTGTCTGTCTCTGCCAAACAGACTATCCTTCCATCAAAGCAGAGATCCTGTTTTCTTTTGTTCAGTTTCTAAACATATGCCTGCATTTAACCATTTAATAATTGTTACTGAGGACATAAAAGCGTGCAAAGCCCCAAAGTCTGACAAAGACTGCCCATTTGTTGCTGTTCTGGTTCTTAGTGTTATTACTTTTAGGAGCATTCGTTTCTATTATTTCATCTAGAAAATGAGATCAATACCCCTCTCGCAGACAGAGTGTGAGAAATAACTATCAGTGGAAATGCTGAATTAGAGGAAGAAAGTAGGCAGTGCTCTCTGGCCTTAGGATTCCCTATGCATTCATTGCTGAAGATGACAGCGATGATCATTTCCAGCTCAAACACCTCAAGACCCTCATCTTCCTTTGACTTGTGCTTTCTTTTGGTGTGTGTTTATGTGGGTGTCTTCCTCACCTTTTGCCGGGGCTTCCCGGGGCCCTGGAAATCTCTCTTTGGCCCTGTCTTCTTTGACTGTAAGTCAGGCAAGGACCTGGGATTATTCAGTTCACTGAAGTCACACAGAGCCAAGGCTCCCAGGCTGCTATGGGACCAGGGCTCAGAGCCCCAGGCCTCAAACTTGTGCTCACTCTTTTTTTTTTTTTTTAAAAAAAAGAGAGATTTATTTATTTATGCATACAAGAACTGGGGTACAGGCCACAGGCCAGGGGCTGAGAGGATTCACCAGAGACAGAATGGGAAGTAGAACAGGTGGATCCACTGAAATACACTGTTGAGAGGAGCAGCAGGGAGACAGGAGAGGTCTGCTGTGCCATGTGGGTCAGCATCCTGGCTGGGGATTGAACTCGTGCTGCAGTGGCTGCTGATAGCTTCATAATGCTGAGACTTAACCCCTTGCACCACCAGGGAGGTCCCTGTACTCACTCTGTAGTTATGAAGATTTCACATCTGGCTTTGCATTTGAGTCTCACAGATCTGATCAGGGGTGGAGCGTAACAAGGGCACAGAAATGGTAGCTTGTCCAAAGTGATGTGACAGAGATTTAAAATGAGGCCTTGGATGCTCCGTGAGGACTCTGTGGAGAGACTGCTCTGCCCCTTGCGGGGACGAGGCCTTCAGCCTGTCACTTGTCTCCCTTCTCCTTTGCTTGCTGTGCTGTTTGGCTGACTCTAAGTCACAGAACATCAGTCTGGGCCACGGGCTGAAGGGAAGAGAATCTCCTTTGACAGTGCTTCACACTGGCCGTGGCCCCAGCTCTGCATGGTCAGACATTGTGTGTCCTGGGGATCTGCTTGGCACCACAAACACCCCAGAAGATCATCCAAGAAGAAATGCATTAACAGAGTCCACTAAGGGGTTCCCCAAGCAGCAGTGTTTTTAAGCCAGTCAGAACCTCAGATTCATCCTGTTCGTATGACAAACGAAGAAACTGCAGCCCAGGGATGGGACTTGCTTGTCCCAGACCCCGCCCTGCACGACAGAGCCAAACCAGAGGCCGCTGTCCCAGGGCTTGAGCCTAGGGCTCGCTCTGCTGGCCGCCAGGGGCCTTGCTCTGATGGCTGTGTGCTGAGCACCTGCTGTGTGGCAGGGACATTGGGCATTTAGTTCCAATCTCCCAGCGCCTTCCTTTGACATGGATGTGGAATGGGGGGTTCTGTGGCTGTGGAAATGGGGGGTTCAGAGAAGCTAATGTCCCTCATTAAGGAGTGAATTTGGAATCACCACCCTCCTTGCCAGCAGACTCACCTCAGTGAGGACAACTTAAAGGTCAAAGACCATCAGTCAACAGACAGCAGGAGCTGGCTGGGCTGTTTTAGTTTGCCTTATTCATCAACTGTTTAGGGTTGTGTTTTTAGTCTTTGTTATTGGTGAGATAAACCTTTAAGGTAAGCAAGTTCTACTTGGGCTACATCTACAGTGGTTAATGCTAAATATAACCACGGCATGGGGGTGGAGGTAGGGATGTTTTCTTCCTTCCTTCTTCCTTCCTTTTATTTATGCATACAACAGCTGGGGTATAGGCCAGAGATGCTGTGGGTGGGGGTGAGAGGATTCACCAGAGACAGAGTGGGGAACAGAACAGGCAGACTGACCGAAGTACACTGCTGAGGGGAGCAGCGGGCGAGACAGGAGAGGTCTGCCTTGCCATGTGGGTTGCTCCCTGGCTGGCTGGGGATCGAACTCGTGCTGCAGAGGCTGCGGATTGCTTCATAGTGTGCGGTGCTTAACCCCTTGAGCCACGAGGGAGGCCCAGGGATGTTTTATTTCTCAGTTAAAATGATGCCTCACTATGGCAACTATAGTTCTACAAAAACTTGAACAAATATTACTGTAAAGTAGCTACTTTATGTTTGATGGAGATAATTTTTTTTAAATTGTACATGTATTTTTTTTTTTTAATGCCCGGACATTGTAGATTGAATGAGTAATGAAAAATTTCACTTGACAGACATAAAACTAGACACATATTTCTAAGCTTTGCCATATTAAAAAAATACTGTTCTCAGTATCTTTGTGTCCAGCACACAGTTATACTCAAAGAACCTGTCAGTACATTAGCAGGAGTTACCAAATTCACCAAAATAGCAGAGTAGGATTTTATTTTCAGGAAACGGTATTAAAATCAAGATTCTGTTGACCAGCTACTGTCTGTGTTATCACAACTGTGCTAATCTTTTTTTTTTTAGAAGGGTACCCTGTTTCTGTGTCCATCTGCTGGAGAGCTCACAATCTTTATGGGTTTTGCTTTGAATAAATTACCTTTAGGTCCAATAATTCCATCCTTTATAGAGAACTTCAAGAAGACCTAGTTCTTGTTACCTCCTCTTCCTCCTTTGGACTTCATAATAGTTCTGCATTTTTTTTTAAAGATTTATTTATTTATGCAAGAACCGGGATACAGGCCAGAAGCACGGGAGGGTGAGAAGATTCACCAGAGACAGAGTGGGGAGCAGAACAGGCAGACTGACTGAAATACACTGCTGAGGGGAGCAGCGGGTGAGACAGGAGAGGTCTACTTTGCCATGTGGGATTCTTGCCGGCCGGCCGGGATCGAACCCACACTGCAGAGGCTGTGGACAGCTTCACAGAGCGGCGCTAACCACCTGCGCAACCAGGGAGGCCCTCGTTCTGCATTTTTATCCTTTGTGGCCTCTTGTGAGCTTATCTTGAAGGAGGAAAGCTCTTCCTTTCTTTCCCTCTGCTTGGACCCCAGAGCCCATCTCCTTCTACCAAGATGCTGGCCCAGCAAAGAAGCGGGGTCTCCTCTGTCCACATGGCGTCAAATAGCAGAAAGTGCTAGCGTGTCCCAGCAACACTGCCTGATACTTTTGCAATCTCTGTTCAAAGCAGAGTTTTGACAGCACAAGATAACTTGTCATGGATAAAGTCCTAAACGCTCCAAGAATAGTTATTTTGCTGGACCCCGTTTTTTATGCTTCAACTGTCTTGCCAGGTTCCCCGATCCCAGAGCCCCTTTTTTTATTCTAGTGATTTCCTGTGTCCCTGCTCGTGCCCTCTCCTCCCCCGCCCCGCTCCCCCCGCTTCTTGAAAGGGTGTGTTCTGCCCTCGTCCCCACTTCCTCACCGCCCACTCGGTTGTCACTGCTTTGCAACGAGTTTCTGCCGGAGCGCCCAGCCGGAAGGGCTCTCTGCAGGGACCCGGCCCGGGGTGCTGGCCTGTCCTCAGGCTCCGGCCCTCAGAGGCCTTTATTTCTGTTTCCCCCTTATCCAGACTTAAAAAGCGGGAGCCATATTCCAGGGCAGCTCCTCACCAGCCTTGCTCGAGCAGGGGCCAGGTCATGCCTTCTCTGCCGGGTCATTACCTCTGGCATGGGGCATTTTCCCTTCCCCAGTGCCAGCCTATGAGTTTGATCCTCATTTCTCCTCCCGGCCAGCACACTAAGTCTTGCTTTGCTGCCTTCGAGCTCTCAGCGGATCCGCCCTGAAGAGGCGGCGAGGCCAGACTCCCCCAGCCACAGCTTCGGTCGTGGTCGCCAGGCCTCGCCGTCCAGCAACCCATCACCTCCTAACTTCGAGTCCACCCACCCCCCCCCAGCCGCTGCAAAGCAGTGACAAACGCGTGGGCGGCGAGGAAGTGGGGGACAAGGTTTCTTCTCTGAATCCTCTCAGCTTGGATGGATCCTCTGCCCTTCCCTTCCAGCCACACTCACGTCACCCAACGCTCCTCTGCCCAGCCGTGGCTCTGGGCCTCCCCACCGGCAGCTGCTTTCCCTCTAGTGCCGCAGTAGCCCCTCTATGGGGGGTGCCTTCCTCAGGGGCCTGACCTGGGAGCCGCTGCTGGCCCGCCAGGAGCTCAGTCAACATTACACTGGACATCAGTCGAGCTGCGTCCTTGTGAGTTTGCAAAGACTCAGGATGCCAGAGCCAAAGGCAGCATCTCACCCCCCAACCATGATCTCTTAGTGCCATGAAGTCATTGTATGGGACCCTGGGGGATGGGGCTCCAGAGGCACTGGCTGCAGAGAGCAATTATGCTCGCTTAACATTCATCTTGCTCCCCTCTCGTCCGCGGTACCCACACTCTGCTACGGATCTGAGGCAGAATTTTGTGCTGCTTGACATCCCCAGCCCCTCCAGAAAATACTTGCCCAAGAGGCTCAACATCTAGGGGTATTTATGTCTAACGGGATATCTTTGGAGACACGTGCATTTAAAGCCAGAGGCTTGGCGTTGTTTTCATTATCATCAGCCATGACTGATTATTTTTTTATCTGGTCTCGGGCAGCTGGAGGAACCTGGCCCATTCCACCTTTAAACACGGCGGGTATCAAACACTCCCATTTCACAGAGGCGCAGCCCGAGAACACCGTGGTCTGGATGGGGCTGGGGCCACACTGCGTGTAAGTGGCAGCCACCTGCCTGAGCCCCGCAGGTGGGCAGCAGTGCTTCCGCCCAGTTTTCTAGAATGACTCACACAGATGTGAGTGGCCAGGGTCGTTCTGAGAGAAAGAGAGACGGAGGGCAGGCAGCCAACTTGATCATGCTCTTCCTCCTCCTCCAGTCTCAACGCTCTCAGGACGCCTGGCCCAGGTCGCCTTAGAACCAAAGCCCAGATCCCCCAGCCTCTAAAACCTGCCCCCTGCCTCATCCATTGCTCCCTCTTGGTCACCGAAACAGAACAAACAATCCCTTACCTGAGTCTCCAAGGCCGGGGCTCAAGCGGCGACTGGGGCACCTGCTGGTTCCCTTGCGAGGTCTCCCGCACACAGGACGTGGGAGGTGGGCCGGGGTGGGACCCTGATCGATGCCAGGTGACAGGAAGCCTGCGCCCGCCGCTACTGTGGCTTTTGCCCCAATTACTCTGGTCTAATACCCACTTCTCCGTGAGCCCAAGGGTCTACAGAAGGTTCTGCCTGACCAGGAGGTTTCACTTCTTAAAAAAGACCCCAGGGGACCGCCTGGCGTACTTTACGCTCCCTTAATTAGAAGAACTCGGCAGCCCCCACCTTGTGAGCAGGTGTGGACCGCGGGTCCCCAAGGGCACGAAGGGCTCTAGAAATTCTCTAAAGATGGGCTGTTAGGACTTTTACCTTTTGACTTCGCTTTGAGAAGTAGGTGGAAGGAGGCGTTCATGCAGAGAGAGTCAAGAAGCATTAAGCCTGTATCCCCAGTGGGTCATGTGGATGGCCCCAAGTACTACCCCCACTTGCTCACATTCAGGGTGCCTGGCGGACCATGTAGGTCTTGTGGCGGATTTAGAAATGACCCCGAAATACACCTGGTGCTGTAGATCACGTACCTGGAAGCTGGAGGCAAGCTCCTAACTTAGGGATGAAAATTGAAACTGCCTTTACCTACAAAGCCACCTTTTCTGCCCTTCTGTCGGGTCCCTGATGCCCCCTCTTTTTTCAGCCTGTGCGGCCACCAGCCCAGGGCCTGACCAAGGCAGGAAATGGAGGAAGGGGAGCTGGTGGCCAGGAGAGTGTAAACATTTGGGAGAGGAATCAATGTTTTGCTTAAAGATGTAGCCCTGCCCCCCACCATAAGTCCCTTAGGTTCAGATGTTGGCGTTTTCGTTGCTTTTTCTTTTCCTCGTGTGGTGCTTTATTGCATTAGAGACTGAAAGGTAATTATCTGTCTGCCCCTTCTAAAGGGTGGAAATGGGGCTAAATCAGAGATTAATTTACTTCTTTTCTCTTTCTCTCCTCTTTTCTCTAAGATGGTTTGGAATCAGGGACATAGAACCGATGGGTAGATGTAGGTCTGGGGAGGCTGGTTTTAGTGCAATATAAAAAAAGTGCCAGCTTCCACTTCCTTCCACTGGAGCTGTTCATTAGTGGAACGAGCTATCAGTTGCACAACTCACGTTATCAAGAACACACCTCTCCTAGCTAGAGAGGAGAGGGCTGGGGCACAAGACCACCCCCCCTTTCAGGTTCTGGTGGTGGGGTCTGGTTTGTGGGAGACTGACGTGCTTCAGTGCTGGTGGCAGGGAGGCTACAGAGCTGGGGTCTGCTCTGTGGGTGATGGGGGTCTGAGGCTGTGGTCCAGGGTGACAGGAGGTCAGAGGGCTGTGAGCATGGGAGGGGCCAGAACCTGGTCCAGGGGTGGCATCAGGGAGGCCTAGCTCAGAGCTGCCAAGCTGATCTTCCTTCTGTGTGGGCCCTGTGCAGGGTAAGTGGTTTTCAGGCTCTCCTGCCCTCCCACCATTCGGATTGCCCTGCCTGATGGGGCACCTGCGGTTGTTACATTGTTGTAAGCTGTGTGGTTTACTTCTGTGGGCCACAGGAGGAGTGTTGAGACAGTCACCCAGAGAAGCAGAAGCAGGAGAGAGGCAGGAGAGAGGGGAGAAAAGAAAGCCAGAGAGGCCCAGAGTGAAGACTTGTGGGGGGGCTTGGAGGCCTACCTGCCTCCTGCCCCCCGCCCCCGGGCACCCCTGCCTGCGGTGTACCTGGTTGCTGCACTACATGGAAGAGCTCAATAAAAGCCTAAGAAAGCCTCTGGGGGCTCCAGGACTCTCCTTTACCGGTCCTGTCTGCTCGGATCATAGAAAACCTGCTCTGTGTCCCTTCCTGCCCCTGCACCCTGCCTTTTCCGTCTGTCTCGGGGAGTTGGTGACTCTGCCTTTTGTGGCCAGTGGAATCACCTAGGCCACTCGATGTGTGATTCTTCCTGCATAAACCTGAACTGATGGGAATAAATAAACTTCACCTTGATCTTTGCTGGTTTGGATCGACTGAGTTTTCAGGCTTGTCTTCATTGAACCCCCGATTATAATCTGGGTTTGTTCCATCTTTCTCCCCCCTCGGGAATATTTCAGGCTCCCTGGTCTAACACAGATTTCAAGTCTCTCTCTCCGAGTTATCTTGTTACCCAACGACTGCTTGCTTCCAACGCTCGTCTCTTCCAGTCTGTGTAAACATTTACTAACTAAACTTTTGCTACTATTTCTTCCCACCTTCTGGCACTTCGATATTTCTTGCCTCTCTTGCGAGAACTGCTTTTCCTGTCGTCATGACTTGTTTTTGCCCCCCTCAACCGCTGATCTCTGTCCCTGGGAGCCAGGCCGTGTCCTGCTGCTCTGCTCTCTGCAGGCTGCGGGAGCTGACGGCACTGCTTGGACTCACTCTTAACCCAGGTAATTATCACAAGTCCACTTGGGGCTACGAAGTGACAAAGTGGCGCGTCCCCACGGGTCAGCCAGGCACTGGCACCCAGAGTTACCTGGGGCGGGGGGGGGGCGGGGGTGAGGGTTGGTTTCAAAGAATTGGTAAAAGAGATGGAGGGCTGCTCCCTACATCATTGAAAGCCTTAATTAATTCTCTTTTCCCTCTGGCTTTTCCTCACCAGCATGGTTCACCCCCACTGAGATTATAACAAGTCTTTATTCTCACAGCGCTGCTCAGTGCCCTCCATCACAATCACAGCAGACAAGGGGGCTACTCAAAATCGAAATGGTTGCAGAAATGAATAATTCCATAACGGTGAATGCCATCAACATAATCAAAATGCCCTGTAACAGAAGAAGAGAAAAGATGAAGGAAGCTTGGCGAGGTGGGACAGTGGTGGCTTTTCTGAATACAGAGAGGTCGCCAAGCCCAGGGGAGAACCACCACCCACACCACGTCAGGTGCCATCCTGGTGTGTGTGCAGTGGCACCTGTGTTTCTCTGGCAACTAATACTACTGATGGCTTTTATAAATGCTTGATAGCCACTGGCATAGCTTCCTTTGTGAAGTCCTTGTTCAAATTTTGCAATTTTTGCCTTTTCATTAATTTTCAGGGGTGCTTAATATCTACTGGATGTTGGTCCTTGGTCAGATATACGAACGGGAGAGATCGTCTCCCAGTCTGTGCCTTGCTTTCTGCTTTCTGTTTACGTGCAAGAAAATAAAAAAGTTTAGTTAAAAAAAGAGCTATAAGCGACACACAACAGTGGTATAAATTTAAATTACGCAACATGTTGATTTGATACATTTGTTTCCCTTCTGCTTGCTGGGGGTATCTTAATATCTCAGTTAAAATAATTTTAAAAAGGAATCATTTAATATAATTTTAGTATAGGTCTGCCAATGCCATTTTTTCCCCCTTCTGTGCTCTGTCATCTTTATTGCAACTTTACTTCTGAAGAGCATTTCACTGACACAGAACTCCCAGTTCCAGTATTTCAGCATCTTCAAGATGTCATGTCCTTGCTTTCTGGCCTCTGTCAGGCCTCCAGATGATCCATCTGTGGGAGGTTTTGGTACATTCCTTTGACTGTGGTGTGTTCCCCACACCCCCTCCTTCAGCTGTGTTTTAGGTTTTTCTCTTCATGTTCCCTCCCCCAATCCCCACTTGAACCCTTTGCCTATTATGTGCTTTCATGCCACTTTCTTTGTATTTTCCTGTTTGCTTTTCATTCATTCCTTTTAGCCCAATTGACTACTGCCAGACCCAACCTCTTGCTTTCTTCTTTTCTCCCCTGTTTTCTGTGGTCTTAGCACTTCCTAGGCCTTGGTATTTCTCATTATTACCCTCTGAATATTGTTTCTTCTCTTCAAGGCCCGTTTTTGTAAGGTGGGTAGTTTTCCACTTCCTCAGCAATTTTTGATGGGTCTTGTGGACCTTTTCTGGTCTCCGTGTGGATTCCCATCTTTTACATATTAGCAGTATTTTGGAAAGAACGGAAATAAATGCCTATTTTCAGTCTACCATGTAGTATCAGAAGTCTGGTTGACTTCTGACACTGGAAACAAAACTATCAAAACACTCCACTCGGGATTCTAAGGTACACCCAGGACTATGAATTACTACCGTCCTGCTAAACCTCTTTTCTTTTTAGTATATGGCTTTATCTATACTATTCTCATCTTTATACTATACTCATCTTTCATAATACACTATTTAATATTATCTTTTATGAAATGTATATATTTTATGTCCTCTACTCACCTGTGAATCCCTAAAGGTGGGGGCCTATAATGTGTGAATTTTTCTATTCCATAATGCCTGGTAGACTGTCTATCAGAGACTCTGGTTTCTGCAAATGTTTCTAAATGAAAGAAAATACTTGTGTCTGCAGCATTTCTTGGAAGGTGCTGACTGGCTGCTAAAACAGTTTTGATTTACCCCATTACTCCTCAGCATACTTACAATGCAGCGTACTTACAATGAATAAGGTGGTAACAGAATGGCACTCTTGATTGTTTTTAGAAAAGCCGCATAAGTAGTTTTGATCTAGAATGAAAGCGAAGGTGAGGAGGAACACTCCCGCTATGGCTGCTATCGCACTAATCAAATTCATGAACCGGCTCATCTTCATCTGAAAGAGAACAACAGCCCAGTGCAGGTGCAGTCTGAGTCTCCAGAAGGCCATGGATGGCGCGGAGTGCTGGGCTCTCGACAGAGCAGCTACGTGACCTTGTGAGAGTCACTGCACCACTTTGAGCATCGGACCCTCATTCACAGATTGGGGGATCCGGTGGGCTCTTCATTACACTCCTGTCCCCCACAATCTGTGCCTACATTCAGTCTCATTTAATTGGGAGGTGAGGTTCCTGCCGGGCAATACTGGCATGTCGGATGGCCTTTTATTGCTCTGCTTAAAGTCATGACCTACTTACATTTTGGGTTATCTCTGTATTTAACAAAATAGTATATTTCAAAGCAATTTTTATATCTTCCTAAAACTACAAATCTACAGGTGCCCTTTGCTGAAAGTAATTTATTGGTTTATTCATATCTCCTATTTTTTAAAAGATTTATTTATTTGTGGATACAAGAACTGGGGTACAGGCCAGAGGTGTGTGGGGGGCGGGTGAGAAGATTCACCAGAGAGAGTGGGGAGCAGAATAGGCAGACTGACTGAAATACACTGCTGAGGGGAGCAGCGGGTGCAACAGGAGAGGTCTGCTGCGCCACGGGGGTTGCTCCCTGGCCAGCCGGGGAACGAACTCGTGCTGCAGAGGCTGTGGATTGCTTCATAGTGAGGTGCTTAACCCCTTCCGCCACCAGGGAGGCCCCATATTTCCTATTTTTGATTCTTTGAGAGAAGTAAACATATTCTACTTATGAACAGATATCTGTAAGTTAACATTTTGCATTCATTAACATAGGCTTTATTCCGAGATCCCTGCCAGCGAAGTTTCAATTGGGTTGTATGCCTATCATATAAGTTGAACTAGTGCCTGTCTACCTGTCGTTGGTGCTTAGTAGGCACCAAAATGACTTACAGAAAGAAAGAATGAGTGAGTTACTGGAATACTGAGACTCATCCTACCTTTGGCTGGGGAACTTGCCTCAGTGTCTTCTACGTAAGAATTAAGCTGATTAAACTAGAAAACTTACTTCTGGTACAAATGTTTTCTGATTCTATGGAAGAGGAGAAGCAAATTCCATTGATTGGAATTTGTCAATCTGTGCAATTCTAGTGGCTTCATGATTTTCCAAAGTCATTTTCAAGGCTAGATGAATTATTTCAGACTTAGAAATTTTTGATAAAGGGGAAATAGAACTCACCAGAGTTTCTGTGGGTTTTCTTTCCAGGGCAACCAGGAAAGCTCCAGAATTAATGAACTGTTAAGAAGAACACATATCTTAGTGGTGGGCAGGCTGAGCTGCCCTGGAGTTCCCACAGAACAAGCCTGTACATGTTCCTTTCGCTTCCCGCCCTGGCTGGCTCAGCCCTCAGGGCAGTGGGGAGGGTGAGCCGCTCTATGTGACTGTCACAAGGGAATTGATGAGGAATTTGATTTAACCTGAACTACTTATGTAAACATGAGAATTTTAAAAACCTTATTGGTTTTCATTTTCTCACCCATCATCTGTTTAGAGCCGGGGTGGACACAGCATTGATGCCATGGCCCTCTGAGGCCTGGTCAGTTTACCACCATTAAGTCCATCCCCATCATTCTTACAAGAAATATCCTGCATACCCATTTGAAATCCAGTGTATTCTCTTGGGTGGGAACAGAGGCAGAGCTCAGCTAACATGTTGGAATGCTAAAAAAGTCCCAAGAAATTGCTTAGACGTGAGTCATAGGTGGCAGCACTGTTGTCTAGTAGACTCTTCAGTCTGATGCTTGCACATCCATTTTTAAATTTTTGATTGCCAGGGCCTGGTATTTCTTCAGACAAATGGCTCCACTCTCACTCTGCACTGAACCCTTACAGCTCTCAGAATAGAAAATGTTCCCCACACCATGGGCCCTATGTGTTTTTCCTTGGCTCCAGCAAGCTATCCCTATGCCTTGCACCATTCCCCCTTCCCAGCCATTCCCCGCTCTTCCACTGTGTGTCTGCACCTGACTGACCTCATATTCCTCACAACTCAGGCTGGACATGTCCCTGGGGAACCTGTCCTGTAGGTGCCTGGCCTATGGAGGCAGTTTGTGTGTTCCCATGTATTAATTGACTCTCTGCTCAACGGCAACCTTGAGGCCAAGTCTACTCCCCCTTCACACTGTTCTGTAAGACTGCCCGCCTGCGTCTATGCAGGTGTGTCTCTTTCCTTGTTCTCTTTTCCTCAATAAACTTAGTGTTGCTGATGCATGGAACCGTCTGCTGAATTCTTTCTCAGGGGGACCCAAGAATCCCACGTACCGAATCCCATTGCCTGAACCCCATCATGGCTTCACATCGAACAGGATTATCCATACTCACCAAAATGGAGCTCCAGAATGGATATCCAGAAAGAAATATAAAGGGGAACCGTGGCTGTGGGTTTTCAAGAATGAAAAGCAAAACAACTCCAAAAGAAAAGTTCATTAGTCCAAGCAGGATCTGGATACTCTGTAAATAGAGGAAAAGCTCATGGTGAGGAAAAAGCAAAATGGTGGACTCCCTTTGAAAACTTAAGATTTGGTTTATGAGGATTAGGCAATTGCCCTCTTTTATAAATAATAAGGGAAGACATAATAGAAGCCCCTTTGTGATGTTCTCATGTATTTCTTGATTCTGCTACCTGGTATTTGGTGATGTGTAAAATGGTTTAACTAAACGGTCCTGAAAATGTCATTCATACATTGGCAATATTAGGATCATTGGAAATTAGAAATGCAAATTATCAGGCTGGAGCCCTTACTTAGCAAACAGAATCTCCAGGTGAGGCCGAGAAATCTTTGGCTTAAACTTTACAAGCCCCAAGGAAATGCAAATCAAACCCACCTAGAGCTATCATCTGACCTCTGTTAAAACGGTGGTCAAAACACAAAGATAAGAAAGAGCAAATGCTGGCAAGGGTGTAGAAAAAGGGAACCCTCCAGCACTGTCATTGGGAGTGGGAATTCGGGCAGCCATTATGGAAAACAATATGGAGAGTCCTCAAAAAAATTAAAAATGGAGCTACTATATGATCTAGCGATCCCACTTCAAAGTGGGATCCAGTCAAGAAAATGAAATCATTATCTCAAAGAGATAGCTGTGTTGCCATGTTCACTGCTGCTTTGCTCACAATAAACAAAGACCCTGCTTCCGAACATCATTGTACTGGGATTGTGGCTTCCCTGATGAATTTGGGGGACCACAAGCACTCAGTGCCAAGCACAACTTCAGTAGAGTATACATCGGGAAAAATCCTTACTTACCCCGAGGATTTTCAGTTTTGCAGAAATCAGTTTTGGATTAGGGATGTGAGAACCATAGCTTGTTTCTGTAACATCCACTGACTGAAATTCTGGAACGGTGACTTCTGGAGGAAATACCAGAAACACAGGTGTGTCTGCAGCGCTTGAATACATGATGGTGTAGTTGATATTTTGAAATGAGAAGAAAAAAAAAGTCTTAGTTGGCACTTTGGTTGGTCTAGACCATGTTCTTCTCCGGTACTGAGGCCGTGCGGAGCAGTGGCATTGCTGTGGTTTGTCTTGGAATTATGGAACCGTAGAGTCACACAGTCACGGAATCTCTGGACCAGTCAAGTTCTCAAGAACGTCAGTGACTAAAAGGAGTAGGATAGGGGGGCCAGAGGACCTGATCAACATCCTGATTCAGTCAGGACCCCACTGAGACATTGGGCAAGTCACATCTTCCCGGTTCCTTCTCTGCACATGAGCAGGTTGGGCTAACTGACCTGCACACACGCTGAAATTCCCCAGTGAGTGTCATGAACATTCATTCCTGTTCTCTGTCTTCAGACAAATAGAGGACAAAACCTCTCATCCCACAGAATTGATAAGCTACTTCTTGAAGTACACACAGGGTCCCTTCAGTCTGTCGACTTTGGTCTTTGTCCCCTGATTTTATTAGCTTGAGCTGTGAACAAGCCACCCCCAAACACAGTGGCTTAAAACTACTGCCGTTTGATTTTGCTCACGATTCTGTGGGTCACATGGGCTGTCTACTGATCTGGTCCAGCCGAGCGCTTCTCTGCCGGGTTTTCTCATCCATCAGCGGTCAGCTGTGGGTGTGGCCGCACCAGACTTCGGGGTGGCTTCAGTCGTCAGGCAGTGGGTGGGCTCTTGGCACGCCTCTCATTCACAAATGTTTCTCAAACCTCTACCGAATGTCCTTCTGACCTAAGCAACTTGCAGAGCCAGCCCCGATTCCAGGGGAAGGTAATTGACCATATTTTCCTGGGAGGGTCTGTACTGTTATATGGCAAGGACGGGCGCAGGGAGGTGGACTATGTCCATTTATATACTGCAGTTTGTCATCCTCTTGATAAGACTGGGTCTTCCTAAGTCGAAAATCCTGATGTAACAACCTCTCGCCACTTGCCTGTGAGAAGGCTGGAAAGGACCACCCCCTTCCAAGTTTTCTCTAAATTTACCTTCTCTCGTTCAATTTTTCAGACATAGAATCCTTAATGGTCTCCCATGAATCATGCTAAACCCGGGGCACCCCCCTCCCCAACGGTCCAGCTATTATCTTGGAAGAAGCAAGTAGACATGAGGGAAGGGAGCCGCCGGAGCTGCTATTTTGCTAGAAATTTGGAAAACGTGTGATCTCAGCCTCTTGATTGCCTGCTTCTGTGGTTTTTGCAGTTTTCACGGCCTGTCCGGGCTTCTTGGTATGACAACTCTTTCCCTCACTGTGTGGTGATACAGGCCACCACTAGAATCTTCTCTGCCCTAGAGCAGTGTCAACACACCATGGCCTATACAGCATATTTTCAAAAGTAATAACATTAAGCTTCTACAGCATCTGCACAGTCAGACACTTGGGGTTTCCCACTGGCTCTCTGCTGACATCAAATCTCTAGTTCCTGTTCTCTGCCTTGTGTGGAGCTATCAGAACTTTCCTTTGAGACTAGCCAGGGAATTTTTCTCTCTAAGAGCAAATGTACTTGGTTTTATGGGCTCAGATGGGACTTTTACCCCTTTGCTCCCTTCCCCACCCCTCAAGAAATAAAAGGCATGCAGTAGTCTGCTTGGCTGTTATAACAAAATGCCATTCACAGACAGGGTGATTTAAACAGTGGAAATTTATTTCTCACAATTGTGGAGGCTGGAAGGTCCAAGGTCAAAGTGCTAGATGATTGGGTGCCTGGTGCAAACTCTCTTTTTGGCTTGCAGATGGCTGCTAACTCACCATGTCTTCACTTGGCCTTTTCTCAGAGTGTGTGCAGAGAGAGAGAGAGAGAGAGAGAGAGAGAAACTCCTCCCCAGTGTCTCCTCTTCTAACCCCATTATGAAGTCCTCCATCCTCGTAACCTCACCATTGCCCCCCAAAGGCCCTGTCTCCAAACAGCATCTCATTGGGGTTAGGACTTTGATGGGTGGATTTTGGGTGGACACAATAAAGTCCCTAGTTGGGAGATAATTTGTATAATTCAGAATAAAGAGATACTTGGTTGGCATAAAATAGATGAAACTGATGCCATGAGCAGCAGCAATTGCCAAGTAGAGAAGTGTACAGATGTCTCCTATGCCTGCCCTGGGCCAGATGCTCTTGCAAACACTGGAGGTACCAGTTATTCCGTTTTCACAACAATTCCATGCTGGCTATACTATTCTTCATCTCTTATCACTGAAACGGAGGCACAAAGATTTTAAGGAACTTTACCACAAAGGAAAGTAGTGTGTCAGAACAGAAGTATGAACCAGCTGGTTTGGATTTAATGCTGTGGACTCGGTTTGATACTTCAGAGCTTTGCCCTGAGGACCTAAATATCTCTGTGTGATACATAAAACCTCATCTCTGACTTGCAGATCCACTTCTGAATCCTAGGAGCGGGCAGAGGGCTAGAATAGCACCAACGAGACTTATCTGGGAAAGGAAAGGCTTATCTGTGTGTGTGTGTTGGTGGGGACAGCAGAGTGAGAGATAAAGGTTCCCAAATGCCCAAAGTGTATCTTGTGAATTGAAGGTTTAATGGGTAAAAAGGACCTTCCTCTGGACTCTGTGATCCACCACTAGCAAGATTACCTTTTTGGGAATGGGATATCTACATGCTCTTCAGGCTTCTGAAGCACAAGGGAGGCATTACTTCAACAGAAATAATTCTTTCTAAAGAGGATCTCTGAGCTGCATTAATGTAACAATTTAGTTCCTTGCTAACAATTTAGTTCCAGGTCTAGAGATGGTGCACATCTGTATTGCAGCCATTCTGAGCTCGAAATTTTAGTAAGGTCTTTAGTCTAATTAACTATACTATACCAGTGTCATTTCCTGGTTTTGGTATGGTGCTATAGTTATCTGTCAAAATTCTCAATGGGCTACTTTTTATGATACTCTTGGATAAAAATGAAAACACTAACTTGATATGTGCCCCCATGTTTATTATGGCATTATTTACAGTAGCCAAGATTTGGAAGCAACCTATATGTCCACTGATGGATGAATGGCTACAGATGTGGTATATATGCACATTAGAATATTATACAGTCCTGAAAAAGGAAATCTTGCCACTTATGACAACATGAATGGACCTCGAAGGTATTGTGTTAGGTGAAGTAAGTCAGAAATAACAAATGCTTTGTAAATTCAGACATATGTAGAATCTAAAACAAAAACAAAAACAAAAAATGAGCTCACAGATGCAGAGAATAGGTTGATGCTGTCAGAGGCAGGTTGTGGGAGGTGGGAAAAATGAGTGAAAGGGGTCAAAAGGCACAAACTTACTGTTATAAATTAACATAGGGGAATGTAACATACTGCTTGGTAACTTTAGTTAGTAATGTATTGAATTAAAAAAATAACTCTGGAAATATGAGAAACTCAGAAGCCAACAAGGCTGCAGAAAGAAAGGGTGGTTAATGATTCCAAGTGTACCAAAGAATCAAGGAGACAGAGGACACAGAAAAAGGTATTTAGGGCACCTGATGGCTCTCGAGGGCACCTGATGGCTCTCGATCACGCAATTTCCTTGGCCCACTGAGGTTGAAATGATATGACCAAGGTTTGTAAAGTTAGAAACAGGCATTAAGAAAGGAGTTAGAGCTTCTAACTCCTAAGAGTAAGAGACGCTTCCTCTTTCTACTATAGCATCCGCGTCTCTGTCCCTCCCTGCTCCCCACGTGCTTGTCTCTAGGTATATGTTTCATTCTCTCCGTTAAATTCTCTACATTAAATTCTGTGTTCATCACCACATTCTATTTCATAAATAACAAGAAATTTAGAGTATATACCCTCAGTATAGTTGGGGAGCTCAGGGGGTTGAAACAGCGAGGGAGAGGAATGGTGGTGCTGATTTTGATTCCTTGCTGACTCTCTTGGCTCTTAGCCTGCGTGAGTGTCTCCCAGTTGACTCACTGAGCTGTCAAACGCAGAGGAGGACAAGTGCTGTAAGCACCATAGGAAAGTAGGTCCATTAAACACAAAGCTGTGAAGCAAACTGGTGATCATGAATCAAAACTAACATGGATTACAGAGTTTAAATGTGAATTATTCCTTCACCCCCCAGAAATTTCCATTAAGAGTGTTAATCTTTGGTTTGTTGCCATTTTATTTTCATTAAGAACAAAACCTTTGGGTGTTCTGCATGCCCTTCATTTTCACGTGGGCGAATACGGTAACGGCCAGCTGAGGTTGGAGGAGATGATACTGTTTTTCCCCATTTTGGTTCCCTATTGGAAGCCGCATGGTATTTGGATAGATTCTGCGTGTTAGTCAGAGTCTTCAGATTGCTCCTTTGGATAGCATGAGGTAGAAGTCAAAGGCAAATCATCTTTGTATGAAGAGCAGCTGACGGAAATGTTTTGTCGCTCATTGCGTTCCGAATCTGTATTGGACAAACAGGTTTGCACTGAGCTTTGACCAGAGGGACAACGAAAATCTGACTTCGTGTCTTCGAATTGTAGGTCGCCTAGTCTGATGTCTCTTGTTTGCGTATCTTCTTTTTGGATCCTTTTGGAAGGAACATCTTGTTGATCCTTATCTTGATAGAGACTGTATTGAAATGGGATGTTCTGTAATTGCTGATTTGCGTGTTGTCGAGCTACTATGCGCGCGCCTTGGGCTTCTTCGAACAGAGCTTTCTGCTGCAGGAGTTCTTTCTCTAATAGAGCTTCGGCTTGCCAGTCTTTGGTTCCCACATTTAGGGACTGCAGCATTTTTTGTTGCAACTCTTGTGCTTTCCAATCTGTGGTTTTCCAGCTTTCAGCTATCCAGTTCTGGTATTGTTGCAAGTCTTGCACCCCCTTGTCTGGAGCTTGCCCGTCTGGGTCTGGCTGCTTTGGAGGTTCCTGCTTTTCAGCTTGCTCTTCTGCATTGGGCCAGTTTTCGTATCTGTCCTCTTGAGTCGGCTGTTGCTCCTGTTCAGGAGGTTGCTCTTCACTGATCTTGGTCTTCTCCTCACCCTCCCCACTTGGAGGTTGCTCCTGTAGGGATTGGTCGCTTTGAACCAGGTAATACTTAGCTTGCTCATCTGAGGGCTGCTTTAAATCTTGCTCTACTTGGACGTACTTATCTGCAGAATATTTCTTTGGTGACACTCTGCCTCTGTATTGCTGTTCTAGGGATCTCCTCTTTGGATGGTGCTGATCTTTGTCTTTATCAGTTAAGGCATTCTGTTTTGAGTATTTTTTGCTGTGGTGTTCTGCTTTATGTTTCCAGCCTTGGGTAAGTAACATTACTTCTGATCGAATGTCTTGATAGTCTATATGTGTACCTTCCTGGTCATCATGTAGGATCTTTTGTAGTTTCAGATCTGATTGCTGCTCTACATGTTGCACACTGTCTGCTAACAGGATATCCTGGGTCTCAATCATCATGGCCTTTGCTGGCATGGACTGTAGTTGGTATAGTGGATCTTGGGATGCTCTGTCTTGGAATGCTCTGCTTTGGGTTGTTGTGTCTTGGGATGTTCTGCTTTGTGATATTGTGTCTTGGGATGCTCTGCTTTGTGATATTGTGTCTTGGGATGCTCTGACTTGGCATGCTCTGTCTTGAGTTGTTCTGCCTTGGGTGGTTATGTCTTGGGATCCTCTGCCTTGGGTTGTGTCTTGAGATGCTCTGCTTTGTGATGTTGTGTCTTGGGATGCTCTGACTTGGCATGCTCTGTCTTGAGTTGCTCTGCCTTGGGTTGTTGTGTCTTGGGATGCTCTGCCTTGTGTTGTGTCTTGAGATGTTCTGCTTTGTGATGTTGTATCTTGGGATGCTCTGGCTTGGCATGCTCTGTCTTGAGTTGCTCTGTCTTGGGATGCTCTGAATTGTGATGCCCTGACTTGGGATGGTCTGTCTTGAGATGCTCTGTCTTGGGATGGTCTGACTTGGGATGCTTTGTCTTGGGATGGTCTCACTTGGGATGGTTTGTCTTGGAATAACAGTTCTTGGAATGGCTTGTCATCAGAGAACATGGAAAGAGACTTTTTAATTTGGGATTTTGAGACTTCTGATAGCAACTTTTGTACTGACAGGGTTTCAGCTGACAGAAATTGGGATGATGATTCTCGGCGTGGGAAAGCTTGGAGTTGTACGTTATGGGATGAAACAACTTGATGTTGCAAGGATTGATGCTTTGATGACTGGGTTTGTGTTTCTGGAGGTTGTCCAATACCAGATTTTAGGTCTTCATCATCAACTTCTTTCGATTTCCTATTACTTCCTGAGAGTGTTTTCAGTAATGTGGAACGTGAAGATTTTATCCCAGTTTCTGCCTCAGAAGGTTTAGAAGGTGAAAGATTATTTTTTTGTTGTTCATTTAGCAAATTTATGGAAGGTATATAATAATTATTGCTGCTTTTCTTTCTTGTCTGTTGGCAGATTAATGGACTTCTTGCGAGTCTTAACTTGTAGAAAGTATATCCTCCAAAGAAAACAGGTTGTATGTTTATAATCTCATCATTCCTAGAGGAAGTCTCTTCTTGAAGCTCAAATTGTAATACAGCATTTTCATCTGTTACAGATAGTTCACTATCTTGAGCAAAATCAGAAGGCAAGAAAAACACTATCTGAAAAGCCAAGGGGGTGAGAAAAACATTACTATAACAGAAACATGTTTGATTTTTTTCTTTGTGCATTCCCAAACCACTTTATCTCTGTCCTAAGACAGCAGATGGGAAATAACATCTAGATGGTGAGTCAGTAAACAAATACTGACTTGGTCATCACATCACTGATTTCATTTTGGATAAGGTATCCCCTCTATTATCTCAAATACTGAATTGGAGAATTTGATTATCTGAAATATTCTCTCCATAATAATATTAAAAAACGGGCCTCCCCTGGTGGCACAGAGGTTGAGCGCTGGGCTGCAAAGCTGCCCACAGCCTCTGCAGCACCAGTTCGATCTCCGGCCACCGGAGGAGGGTCCCACATGGCGCGCAGACCTCTCCTGCCACCTGCTGCTCCCCTCAGCAGTGTACTTCTTCGTCAGTCTGCCTCTTCTGCTCCCTGCTCTGGCTCTGGTGAATTCTCTCACCCTCCTGCGCTTCTAACTGTACCCAGTGCTTGTATAAATAAAATAATTTTAAAAAATAATATTAAAAAATAATTAAAAAAATAATATTAAAAAACTTCTAAGACATTTAAAATCATCCATTCAATGCTCATGTGTTCAGATTTATAATCATTGATTGGTCACCTGTTAGATGAACTAGATGCTGGAAGTCAAAGATAATTAGATGTTGGTTTTGTCCATAAGGTGCTTATAATTCTAGTTAGAACAGTTCCTAAATAGCTAACAAGGGGCCTCCTGGTGGCAGAAGGGGTTAAGCCTCAGCATTATGAAGCTATCAGCAGCCACTGTAGCATGAGTTCAATCCCCAGCCAAGGAGCTGACCCACATGGTGCAGCAGACCCCTCAGCAGTGTATTTTAGTAAATCTGCCTATTCAGCTCCCTACTCTGTCTCAGGTGAATCCGCTCACCACGCGCCCCTCTCCCCCACCTCTGGCCTTTGCCCCAGCTCTTATATGCATGAATAAATAAATCTTTAAAAAAAATAGCTAACAAAATGTTGTTTAGTAAATGCTAATATAGGAATTGGTACTGAATGTCTTGTGGGACTGCAGAAGGTGATATAATTCTGAAAGAGACAGGAAATGCTTCACAGAAGAGGTCTTATTTGATCTATGTTTTGATGGTTAAGTCAGAATTCCTCAGGCTAAAAGATGAGGAAAGATGATACGAAATTCCCAGTAGCAGAGTGGAAACCGTGGGCACAAAAATGCAAGGTGTGGTACAGCAAAGTGTGATGGCAGTGGGTGGTGAGGTACTGGTAGACGGCAGGTGCTAGAGATGAACTGATTCTATTTTGTCCTTGTTGTCTTGTTGACACCTGGTCACCAGTGTGATTTTATTTTAAGGTGGGGCCTTTGGGAAGTGATTAGATCATGAGGGTGGAGCCTTCACAAATAGGATTAATGCTTTTGTAGTAGAGATCCCTGACATCTCCCTTGCCCCTCAACCTTGAGAGGAGAGAAGATGGCTGTCTATGAACCAGGAAGAAGGCTTTCAACAGACATTGAGTCTACTGATACCTTGACTTGAACTTCTCATTCTCCAAAACTCTGAGAAATATTTTTTGTTAAAGCCACCCACCCAGTCCAGGGTATTTTGTTATAACAGCCTGCATGGACTAGGATACTAGGCTAGGAGATCTGGTCTTTCCTTACAAACAAGTGAGATATATGGGAATTTTTTGAACAGCTAAGTAATAGTATCTGATAAAACTTTTAGTCAATGGTTCCAATTCTTTGTAATTTGTTCCAGGTGATCAAAAAAATGTCCATCAAGAAGCAAATGGATAAACAAATGGTGGTGAATGGTGAACCGATACGTAAAAGGAATGGATTGTTCATTCCTGCAGCAGCATGGATGAATTTTAAAAACATGTCACTAAGTGAACGAAGCCAGATACAAAGCGTCCTCACCATTCCATGTATATGAAATTGGAGAAAGTAAAAACTAATCGTGGAACTGATCTATTGACTGCAAAGAGATTCAGGGAACCTTCCAGAGTGATAGGAACTCACTCTATTTTGAGTGTGATGCTAATTAAATAGGCGTATATACGATTTGTCAAAGTTCATTGAAGAGGACACTGAAAATGGGTGACTTTCATTCTTGGTAAATTATAATTCTATGAAACTGATGTAAAAGAGAAGAAAACACCCAACAAAGCTTGGAACCAGGAGGATATTTAGAGGGCAGACTCTGGAACCACATTACTTGAGTCAGAATTGTCATGTCCTGTGACTCCGGAGAGGCTACCTTTGTGTCTTTGTTCTTTCATATGTAAAATAAATGTTTTAATAGTTTTGTAAGTAGGTACTAAGTGATTAGCATAATGCCCCACATTGTAAGCATTCAGTAATTGTAAGCTATATTAATTAATGTAAATATATATATATCTATTAAATATTTTTCCTTTACTGCCTCCTCTTTGATGAGGGAATTACCTTCCATACCCTTATGGCCCAGGTAAAAGCTCCCCACATTCAAGTGACTGAAGATGACTGTGACTAGGAGGTAGGGCATAAAGGAAGCACAGCTGTCTCAAAGGGAGGAATAAGCCCGCAATTTTAAGCTTACCCCCACCCTGAACTTCTTAAATTTAGAAGTTTTAGTTCAGCCTCTAAGAATACTGTTCCCCCACCCATAGGCCCAAAGTCACCTTGGAGAGTCCCATTAGGAATTTATTCTTATAAGGACAATGAACTCACCTCATTTGACCTTGTCCAGCACTTGCTTTTAAAGGAGGCGATAGTCACAGAGATGCTGAGCTCCACAATGCTGATGATCAGTAAGACTGCCAAGATTCCCTACAAATAATGAGAATCAGTGTATGGCATTTGGAATGAAAGCGGTATCATTTTAAAGATATAAGCCAAGGACCAGTTACACACTATGACCACGTCTGGGAAAACTATTTTTAAAAAAAAAAGATTTATTTATTTATGCATACAAAAACTGGGGTACAGGCCAGAGATAAGGGGTGGTGGTGAGAGGATTCACCAGAGACAGAGTGGGGAGCAGAACAGGCAGATCCATTTTAGATGCCCCTATAGCCAGCAGTGATTGAAAGAGAATGAATTTTCTTCTTAGGCCGTTCTGATAAGCAGGGTAACGAACTCCTGTAGGAGTCCGGCAACTATCTTAAATGAGTGCAACAGGCATGGGGGCAGTAAAACAATAGCTATGGTGGGCGGTGGGTGGGGGGGGAGTATGCCATTTTTCACACTCTGGTTTAAAGTGACCTTTAGATAAGAAATGGCTTGGTACAAAGGCTTAGACTCTGCAGACAGACAGGGCTGGGTATAATTGGGTCCAAAGTCAACTTAACCTTGGGCCAGTGATTGAATCTCTCTGAATCTTGGTTTCCGTGAAATGCCTCTGAAAGAGAGACATTTGTTGGTAAAATTGAGAGGTATAAGGAGCTCACTGTAAATTTACTGGCTTTAGCTGTTGAGCAAGATAGACCTAGCGTTATCTTTGCAGAACTTACAGCATAGAAAAGGAGGTAGACGTTACAAATTGCACATTTATGGGTCTCCCCAATGGCGCTGTGGTTGAGTGCTGGGTTGCAAAGCTGCCCGCAGCCTCTGCACTGCTGGTTCGATCCCCGCCCGCTGGCGAGGGTCCCACATGGCGCAGAGACCTCTCCTGCCGCCCGCTGCTCCCCTCAGCAGTGTGTTTCAGTCAGTCTGCCTGTTCTGCTCCCCATTCTGGCTCTGGTGAATTCTCTCACCCTCCCCTGCTTCTGACTGTACCCAGTGCTTGTATAAATAAATAAATAAATCTTTAAATAAAAAAAATAATTAAAAAAACAAGTTACACATTTATTTACTTAACTAAATTGAGAGAAGTACTACCAAAAAAAATACTGGAAGCCATGTACTCTCTGACCAAGTCTGCACCAGGAAAGGGCAGAAATACAATTGGAAGGCCCTTCTTAAAGAAGTGATATTTATGGATGGAACTGGAGGGGTAAGTGAAATAAGTCAGGAGAAAGACAAATACTGTACGATTGTGCTTATATGTAGAATATAAAGAAACAAAACAAGAGTATTTGCCAACATATGGCATTTGGAATGAAAGTGGTATCGTTTTAAAGATAAAAGCTGGGTCTTCCTGGTGGTACAAGGGATTAAGCACAGCACAGTGAAGCTGCAGCATGAGTTCGATCCCTGGCCAGGGAGGTGACCCACAGGGCGCAGCAGACCTCCCCTGTCTCGCCCACTGCTCCCCTCAGCAGTGTATTTCAGTCAGTCTGCCTGTCCTGTTCCCCACTCTGTCTCTGGTGAACCCTCTCACCCTTGGCACCTCTGGCCTGTACCCCAGTTCTTGTATGCATAAATAAAATGCAGATAAAATGCAGATAAAAGCTTAAAATAATTTTAAAAAATGCAGATAAAAACTGAGGACACCAGTTTACAAAACCAAAATAAACCCTAGAAATCTGACTACAGAACTGAGATTCCTGGGGCAGGGAGGGACTAAATGGTGGGGAGCAGAGGCTGGGAGTGCCCAGTGGGCTGCAGTGGAGGACTAGGGGTGTCCTGATGGTGGGGGTGGCCTCTTTAACATACATTTGAAGAGGTGTGATCCTATTCCCCTAAATCACAGAGTGTTGTTTACCAATGTTACATCAGCAACAACAAAATTACGATGTTTAAACTGAGGTTAAAGACTGAGAAGTTAATTGGGTAGGTGGGAAGGAACAGACACTGGGTTGGGGACCATTTGAAGCAAGAAGCAGCTGTGGACCTGGATATTTGATACATTAAGGAGCTCCAGGAAGCGGCAGGAGTGTTGAGTGCGAAGGTGAAAGCCTGAGGACAGAGCTGGGAAGGCAGGCGGGCTAGCTGCTGGAGGGCCTTGGAAGTCCTTTAGGATTTGGGTCTCCATTCCGTGTTTAAAGAGAGTTATTGAGTCATGTACTCAGATTTGCATTTTAAGTGACTTTGGCCACCGTGTAGACTGCCAACGGATTGGTCTTTGGCAGAGGTCAGTCCAGGAGACAGGTAAAGTCCTCTGTGTGGATATGTTAGCTTATTTATGAAGTTTGGGTTAGGCAAGGCATGGTGGCATTCCACAAGTGAGGTTTCAGAACAGATTCTCCATGATTCTATGTGCAGGGACCAATTTAATTTAAACCATCCTTACAACAACCCAAGGAGGTGGATATTCTTGTTATCTTTATTTTCCATTGGAGAAAAACTGAAGTTCTGAGGAGATAAAATGCCAGACCAAAGTCACAATATATAAGTGACAACAGTAGGCTGCAAATCCAGACACTGTGGCTCCCGATCTCCTCAAATGTCAACCTGCAATATGTTTCTCAGTGGTCTTTTTAAATGCCCACATAAATTCAGTTATTGGAGTCAAAATGAATGAACTGAAGCATTGTAAACACAGGTCAGGTGAGATATGTCTTCAGAGCACAGAGTGAGGCCACTTACATTGAAAAGACTTCTACCGATCTCACATATTCCATCAGGGGAAAGCAGCTGGCAGTACATGTGCTGATATTTGTAGCTGATAATGGTTAAAACGATGCCAGCGACAGCTGCCAAGGAACTGATAACAGTCATGGCAGTGGCAGATCGTCCCTGGAAAACAGTTGGAAATCAAAAAAGGAAATAAAAACCAAACCAAGCCAAAATACCTTGCAAGAAATTTTCAGTGCTTTTTTTTTTTCCTTTGCAGATAAACTTCAGGAAACAATTTCTCCATCAGATGGATGTGCTTGAAAGGCTTGATAAGTAAAACTGGGATTCATCAATGTCTCAGGACAAAGCAAGGTTTGGGGGGTACCAGGGAGCCAAGAACGAGAATGGGTGCTCTGCAATGAATGCAAAGAAAATGTTCATTTTATCCTACACCATCTTTCAGAAACAGAATGAACCAGTATGTTAGCAATGATCTCAGTCTTGTCATTAGACTTGGAAAGTAGGACCTCAGAAAAGGTAACTAGTCTCTTGAAATTTCAATTTCCATCTTTAAAAATGAGGACGATGTCACCTGATTTTAGAGCAGCATCTACTCATTCATTTAGAAGACATCGCGACTGTGCAGCAGCGCTGTGCCAGGCCCTGCCTGAGACCGCAGAGCACAAAGACAGATACTCTAGTTGAGGCCCTGCCCTCATGTGGCTTCCACTCATGCCCACAGAGATTCAAACAACAACCAACCCAATAGCTAATATATTTATATTTACAGCGGATAGCAAATAAATATATTTACAGCGGATAGCAAATTTGAAGTAAGTTTAAAAGTTTCCTTTCTTGACCTCAGTGCCCAAATATTCCCCTGGGTGGGTGGGGTGGGGGTGGAAACCACTCTCCATCAAGAACCACTGCAGTAGAGGAAGTAGAATGACCTCCAGTAAGGAGTGAATCTCTCAGTTTTCTTGACCCGGGGGAACCCGACTGAGGCAGGATGGACGACCAACGGCGATGCTGGCAAACAGGAGTGGGCTGAATTGAAAAGCTGACGTGTGAAGACTTTCCCAGATCTTTTATTTAAACTTTTATATGCTAAGATAGGAGATTTAAACTTATGTAGAAGTCAGAGTGACTTACCATACATTTCTCCATCTTATTGTTTGCTGAGAGGTGTCCTGCAAGGATGAACTGTTGAGAAGAGAGCGAAAGGTTAACCGGTAACGCGCTTACCGCCTTACGAGGTAATTTCCTCGGCAGATTATACTGCACTCTGTGTTTCTGTGATTATTTTTTTTTAAAGATTTATTTATTTATGCATACAAGAACTGGGGTACAGGCCAGAGGTGTGGGGGGTGAAAGGATTCACCAGAGACAGAGCAGGGGACAGAACAGGCGGGTTGACTGAAATACACTGCTGAGGGGAGCAGCCGGGGAGACAGGAGAGGTCCGCCTCGCCATGTGGGTAGCTCCCTGGCCAGGAATTGAACTCGTGCTGCAGTGGCTGAAGATAGCTTCACAGGTTGTGTCTTAACTCCTGGCTCCACCAGGGAGGCCCTGTGTGTCTGTGATTATACTGCCGTCTGTGTGTCTGTGAACAGAACATCTGTTCATTCCACGGGGGGCAGGAGAGTAGGCACTGATGTCAGAAAATTAACAGTGCCAGGCGGCTCCTTGCTAGAGGCAGTTGGAGGAGGCAAGTCCCTCCCTCCCTAAGGTCCAAAAGCCCAAGATGCTTGGCTCAAGTGGGTTCCAAAAGGAAAAGAAATTCTGGGCACTGGGCCTCAAAGAGGGGAGGGTGAGCTGTGTCTGCCTGGAGCGGACGGGGGACCTTCTCAGCTCCATAGGGGGGGCTGCTATCTAGTGTAGCGATTTCACTTGCTTCTTTCTTAGGAACATAGAAAGCATAGTACCAGTTAAGGAAAATGAGAACTCAGTCATCCAAGTGGATCCATTTATTTATTTATATGTATGTATTTATATTAATATTCCAGGCATGGGAACCTCTCCCTCTGGAGCTGATATTGGAGCTTGGGGATATCTGAGTGCTGGATTCCAAGGACTTAGAAGTGACCCGCAGTTTGTTGTTGTGGTTGTTATTAGTATTGATTGAGGTAACACTGGTTTTATTATTGTTGCCATTATTGATTGAGGTTAACACTGGTTTCCAGCAGAGGTACAGGATCCCACCTGTTAGATGTATGCTACCAAGGCAACCACAGTCTTTGAAACCACCCCCTCCTAGGATCAACATCCTAGCTAATCAACACCCCTCCATGTCCCGCTCTGCCACCATTGGCCAGGACACCATCTTTCCTGCCCTGGATCTCGGCTGCCTCCTCCCACCTGATCCTCCCGGTTGGCTGTTATGATTCTTGAATTCATTTCCCACCCAGAAAACACATGCTATTTAAAACATAACAAGTCTTCAAATGTCACTTCCCTCTTTCCTTGCTGTCCTTTAGTTTCACATTCTCCGTGTGCCCATAAGGGCCAGCCTCCTCTGCTTCCAGGCCGCCTGATGGCCTCATTTTGTGCCTCCACCACTCGCTCATCTTTCTATTGCTCTTTCTCACATCAAGTCCTTGCTGGGCTCCTATTTTGTCTTTGCCAGAGGATGATTTCCTCCCACCTCACTCGGCCCACGCCTGCGAGCACTTCCCTGACCCCCACATGGGTGAGTCCTCCATCAAGCCCTCGCACTGCACCTGGGACTCCGCTTAGCGCGCTTTGCGTACATACCTAACAGCATTTGTAGCTTCTTTAGTAGGTGACAAACCCTATTTAATTAGAAGAAAAGCAGTAGGTGCTCAATAAATACCTTTTCAATGAGAACAAATTCTGTAATATATACACATTTGTGAAGCTCTACTACACAAACTCACACAGTGTTGTAAACCGAGGGTAAAGCAATAAAACATTACAAAGCACTACGCCAGGGCCTCATTAATTTTTGTGAATGCAGATTACACAAAATCACCCCGGGAAAATTCTGTTGTGAAACAGGGAGGAGAGAAGGTGGTGTTTGATGGGCTGCCCTGTGGCATGTGGAGTTTGAAAATCATCATCGAGAGTATATTATTCATATTTGCCAATAAAAACACTTCCAGCTGTGTGAAAATGCAGATTACACAAAAGGTGTGGGATAGTTATGTTTATCAAAAGGGAGCGGAATTTTTCACAGAGATGGAGTTTCATTAATTCCTTCATTTGTTTATCGAATCATTCATTCATGCCTGAGAATGTAATAGCAACTAAAGCCAAGAATATTCTTGTTCTCCTGGGAGTGTGCTACTAGAGGAAACGCTGATAACTCTACCCTTAAATATTCTGGCCCCAAATAGGAAGCAGGGGTTGGATGGAAATAACTCTGTACTAAGAATTGTATTTATAGTTTTGTGAGTGACGCACAACATAGTCTCTGGGGAGAATAAGGAGGTTGAACCATAGCAATCATCTTAAAATTCTCCTTAAGCCTTGAGAGTCTGACTCTATAGCTAGTATAAAATTATTAGTTTTTCTCAAACTCCATTTTCACATTTGCAAAGGGGAAAGCTATTTGCTCATTCAATGTCTACATGTTGAAAACATGCCGAGGAATGTCAGGAGAAATGACATAGAGCACACACGGGGCTTTGGAAACTTGTAAACACTGACCCCAAAGAGCGGGTATACCATGATGAAGGTGGTGCAGAGGCCTAAGGATCACTTCTCTTGCCATGAATGGGACTGGTTGTTCAGCCTCTTAGGGGACCTTTGTAAAGGGTTTTATCCCAAGACTTGAGGCAATTCAAACCAATCTTAATTATAATTTCTCAAAAGCTCCTAACTGACAGTACTTACAATAAATGCACCCCAGAATGGATATCCTGTGAGGAAAACGAGAGGAAGTTTTTGGGAGAAACTGATGAAATTATATAGAAATATAGTTCCGATGGCCACCATGACCAGGGCTAGCAGGATCTGGATAACCTGTGAGGAGAGAAATGGGCCATGAAGTCACAGGGGCCCCAGCTTCTGGGCACCATCCCGGCCCCTTGGCCATCACACCTCCCTCCATCTGACTACCTTCTTCTTTCATTTACTAAGCACTCTCAGATATTTAGGAAGAAGGTGTGTCCTTCCTCATTGCACACACCTGGGCCCTTCAGATTCAAACCCTCCCTTCATCCTTGCCCCACCATTACAACCCCTGGTGTTACCAATTTATTTCATATCACACAGGTAGAGGCCGACTTTACTCCTACATTGTAAGTTTCTTAAGAACAGAGACTGCAAACTATTCACTTTGGCAACTGGCCCTTTTGAAGCACAGGCTCACCCGCCAACACACATTGTCCACCTTCGATATCTGCTTTGGAAACTGAGGCTCAGCCCAGTTCTCTAAATGCTTATGAACGGTGGGATATATATTCAGTGGAATACTACTCAGGCATTAAAAAGACAAACTGTGCCTTTTGAGACAAAAGGCATGAATTTTTTTTTTTTTAAAGGCATGAATTTTTTATGGTAGCCAAAATAAGTCAGAAAGAAAAAGATAAATATCAGATGGTCTCACTTATATGTTGAATATCAATAAACCAAACAAAAGGTCAAGAAAGGTGAAAACTAGCAGCTGGCCATAGATCTAAGGCCTACAGCAGGGGAAGGGGAGGGAGAAGCATCAAAACCGGGGAGGGAAGAGCACAAGGGACTGGGGTGATGGTTTATGGGTGATATGGTGGTGGGAGAACCATGGGGACTATAACAATGTAAAAAAAATGAATAAAAAGAGAGGAAAAAAAGAAAAAAAAATGCACGAGTCTTCAGGTGAGGATGCTAAGTGAAATGAGCTAGAAAGTGAAGGTTACTGGTGGTTTCCTCCATGTGTGGAATATAAATAAAGAACACAAATGGGTGAAACACAACAAAAAATAACTCTAGACTCTAGAAAAATAGGTGGTTACCAGAGAGGAGGGGAGAGAAGGGGGGAAGGAGAAGAGAGGAGAGATGAACATGTACTGGCTTTGGGGGGCCAGTGGAGGGTGAGAGAAGCAAGTGCATATGTTCAGGTGGGAAATGATCCCCCAATTGTGTAGTTTCATAAACCGTTAGCAAATCAATGAAATCTGATTTAAAAAGTTTCTGTTTCTGAGGCTTGCTCTCCAGGGCAGAGAAAGCGGGGAGAAGCTATGTCTCGTCTCTTCCCTGAGGGCCGACTAGAGATGAGTGACCCAGCGAGCTGACAGACATACCTGTTAGCTGCCCACGGGGAGAGGGAGAGGGAACCGGGCGGGCTTACAGGGTCAGCGGGCACAGCTCCCCTAGCCATCTGTGCTTTTCTCCTCAGGCCACACCTTGGTTGTACTAAAGATGGAGTCTGTCTTCCCGGCTGCCCCTTAGGCGTGTTTCTGGCTGTGTGTGTATCCATCTGGTCGCCCACGATGGGACTTTGCAAGGTTTTCAAAGAATTCCCAGTGCCTTTGATGGCACCAAGGAGAAATTTAATTTCTCCAGTGGCTTTTAGCTCCAGGGGAGGTGCCACCACACCCTGAGGTGACCACTTCACCAGATGCCTGCATCCCCTTGTCAGGGTTCAAAGACAGTACTAACTCCTCATGAAACAGCTCTAGGGGTGCCTCAGGGTTAGGGGAGTTATGAATTACAGCTAAATATCCTATTTCTCAGCATGAAATACCATCTCAGAAGCACTTCTAAGACATGGGGTGAGCTGTGTATTTCTACACAGAACTTTTTGTTTATTAAACTTCAGGGAAGTGACGTCCTGGGCTACAGGCTGACCCTTCTGATGATCCAATTATTTCCACAAACAAATGACTTAGAAATACTTAGAAATACTCATGATTAGTCAATACTCATGATTAGAAATACTCATGATTCAGCAATAAGGAGAGGCTGAAGAGAAGAGTCGATGGAAAGAAGTGGAGCTAGCCTCCTTTTTGAAAAGCATTTCTGCAGACACCCATGGAGAAATGACTTCTTTTCTCACTTCCATGATGACTCAAGAATGGGAGGGAACTTACCCCCAAGACATTCGGCTCTCCCTTCAAGAATTCCAGCAGAGAGCTCTGAGGTCCAAAAGGAATTGCTGTCAATATGGTTTCATTTGGTTGGACAGTGATGGCATGGGTCGATTTTTTGACCCTGGAGGATGACTCCATGATTCAGAGGCAAGACCCTATTAAAAGAATGAGTGAGTGAGCATTGCAGGCCAAATCATGGTGTCCCATCAGTTTCACATGGAGTCCTAAGCAAAGAGCCCCCAGCAATCACCCTCTAACACACCAGAACTCCAGAACCACAGGCATTGAGTCATAGAGTCTTAGAATTCTAGAGCACATCTAACTCCTTGTCCTCCTGGCAAAGGATCCAGTTATCCAGAAGACTTACCCTCGTGTCAATTTATTTTTAAACAGATGTAAACACCAAGTACATAGATGCTATAGGTAAAAATGAACCTTGTCTCTATTTATGAAACACAAAAGAAGTAAAACTTAGAGACCATCCAATATATTCCAGGTGGCTTAAAGGTGTTTTCCTTAAACACGTATTGATGTTTATCCTTTTAATAATTCTACAGTGCTGAAACTGGGGTAGGGAAAGATTAAGATGCCCAAGGCCACATACCAAGGGACACAGGCAGGAACCAAACTCCACTTGCCTGTCTCCAAAATCTTTGCTGTTTCTCTTTAAAAATAACATGCTTCCCACCTCTTGCAAAATCTTTCACTTAAACCTGATGAATCATCCCATTCAATCGTTCCTTTTGTAGTATAAAATTCCTTCTGTTGTCGTATGTTCCTCTGTAGTACAAAAATCAGATAAGAAGGTGCAGGATCCAATGTAGCTGCCACTTAAACAGAGCAGGTTTTAGCTTTCAGAAAGGCAAGTGAGATTAATTGCACTCAAAGTTTCCCTGGTTTCAGCTACCCAACATGATAAAAACAACATAAATGCCTTTTGGAATTTTGTTGTCCAAGTCAATCCTTTATATTCCTATGTGTGTTAGGACAGTAACTACTAAATCAGAAGGATAAAGGGCTCCATGAAACAAAACACTATGTACAAATATATCATTTCCTAGCTTGTGGCGCTGAGGATAGCAGGGGCTCCTCATCCGTGGCACTCCTGGCACTTTGGACCCTCTGGCTCTCTGCTGTAGAAAGTTGTTCTCAGTGTTGTGAGATTTGCAGCATTTCTGGTCTGTACTCATTACATTCTAGGAGCACGTCCCTGTCTGTAACAACCAAATCGTCATCAGACAACGCCAAATGTCCCCTGAGGGCGAAACCACACCAGAATGAGAAGCGCTGATGTGAAGTCCTAACCGCGACTGCGTCCTCTGTCAATTTTGTCCTAGTAGAATGTCTCCTTGTTTTTCACATCCAGACTTCCAAGAAGGTATGCTTTTCTCCATGCTGCCAATTTTTATTCAGGCAAATTTTAGTTTATGCTCCAAAAATGTAATAAAGCAACATTTTAAATAAAGCAAAATGTGGAATTAAGTTTGTATTTGAATTATAAGCAGAATGGATCGCCCATCACGGAGAGAAATTTTGAAAAGACACGCTGCTGGTTAAATACTCTGGGACTCACAGCAGCTGCAGCTGCAAACCCAGCCCCTGTTTGTCCCGCCGGCGTTCTAACTCCCTGGTGATCGTGGCCTCACAGATGGTAGCCGCTCTACAGCCAAGATGCTAATTTGCTCCTCCTGTGCTGTTTTTTCTCCTCTGAAATGATGGGAAAGAGTTGTCCTCAAGCAGAATGCGTGGGTTTTAGGAATGTATTACTGATGTTAAGCAGTGGCTTAGGGGCTTAAAACAATGCACATCTGTTACGTTAATGTTCTGTCTGGTCAGGAGTTGAGGCACAGCTAAGCCCCTGTTCAGGGGACCCCATGGTGGCCATCAAGGCTCAGTGCAGCCAGGCTGTATTTTCATCTGGAGGTTTGACTGGGGAACTGAGCTTATTCAGATTGTTGGCAAAATATATTCCCTTGGGGTTGTGTGTCTTAGGGCCTGGGGTTTTGCTGGATGGAGATTAGAGGCTGCGATCAGATCCCAGAGAATTCCCTCAGCATTCACTTCATCACACCAACATGGGGAATATTGCCACCTGAGTTGGCTACAGTGGGAGGGAGGATTGGAGAATTTGGGAGGCATGAAATCAGACACTAATTTTGGATGACTTTTTCGGTGAATCTGCATTAAAAAAATCAAGAGTTGGAACACAAAGTTCTGGCATGTACGGTAAATATCTTCAGTGACTGGACTTGGTTGAAACCATTCACTTGTTTTCTGGCCGTGACCTTACTAGATCTTTCTTCAGCGGTTCTTGCCTGGTTGGGTTCCCACAGTGAATGAGGCAGAGGAAGGAGTCCAGGACAACTTCCAGATTTCTGCTTTTGGAAACTGAGTGGATGCCATGCTGTTTGTGAAGGACAGGAGGGCGGGGGTCATGGGGGTGCAGGAGAAGAGTCATAAACGAGAAACATGGTGTCCTTACTGCATCTTCCCTCAGTTTGGAATATTATCCCAGATAGTTCTGTATATAATTCTCTAGACATTCCAAAGAAAATTTCTTGTAGCAACAGCGAAATAATAAGCAAGAAATAGATCTTGGATCAAATAATGATTTTATTGCATCGATTGGCTTATGGAATAAAGAGGAATCTCCAAGGTTCTCCACCCCCAGCTTAAAATGTTCATATGCATGTTTTCATGTACAAAAATGCACACACACACTTGAAAACACAAACATGAGCTGAAAGTCTTAGCGTGGAGGGGTAAATGTCCTGGTGAAGCTTATAGACTAGTGGAGGGAGATAGATAATTAATGAACAATTAAGACATATGGTCTGTCTGATGGTAATAGTGCTGTGAAGAAAAATAATAATTGAAGGAGAAACAGGGTTGCAATTTCATGTAAGTTGGTAGTAGGGGGAGTGGGAGGATTTCATTGAGGCTGGGAGATTTGAAGAAAATCTTGGATGGTCTCCAATGAGGGTTATTACATGTATTACTTCTATGATCGTTTTTATACATGTCATTTGGAAAATATACATATGCTTTTCTGTTGTACATTCTCCTGTAGGATAGAACTCATAGCCCAGCCCCAGGGGACAATGTTAGGAACCTCTTTATTAGGTAGGCCATATTGTTTAAGACATTGTAAAATTATAATCTTTGAAATTAGATATTTAAGAATAAAGTCACTCCATAAGACAGAATATTGCATCATAGTCCATGGTAGAATTTAACCCATTCGACTGACAGAGGTGGAACCATACACTGCAAAAGTATTTTTAATTAAATTTATGCAATCCGTAACATCTAATGTTTAAGCAATATCAGTATGAAATGAAAACAGGAACAGAACCTACATGGCTTATCACACCAGCATAGAGCATGATTTTTCTCTTCTTATTTGTAGAGAGAAGAGTCACTTTATGTTCAATTTACTTAGAAAAGTTCATACATCTCACAGAAATTTTGCAAGACTAATAAAATTTTACTCACCTGGGCTTTTGGGAAATTATTTTTAGGAGCAATACAACTATTCACATTGAGCTAGTACAAAACAAAAGATATTTTTAAGAAGTTTTTTTTTCAGAGGTCTAAAGTAGCTGAGATTTCAGCAAAGATTAATCACTTTGCCAGGAGTTTCTCCTTCTTTTTCCTTGAAGGTCAAAAGTTATTCATATCCATGACTTTGAAGAATTCTTTTTGACATACTGGGTATGATCTTGTGACTTAGGCGAAGAAAGTATTCTCTAGAAAAGATAAAAATGGTTAGTAGCTTTTCACTCTGATTTTGGTGGATTTTTTGATAGACATTTATAATGTATTCCCTCCAAATTCTGTGCAGTAGTAGCTCCTCCAACTTGACCATAGCACATAATTGCATCAATATTATTTCAGGGGCCTCCCTGGTGGCCTAGGGGTTAAGTCTCAGCACTATGACTTGCATCAATATTATTTCAGACAAGTCACATTCCCCAATGAGCTAATCATGTCACCAATTTCTAGTAAGATCATAGTTGAGACATAATATTCAGTCCCTTTGCAAGTTTTATTCTTTACCATAGTTTTTGGAGGAAATGAAAGTATTTTAAAATGATAACCTAAGGAAAAGCAAGGAAGAACCCAGAAAGCACAAGCAGAACCATAATATTGTGGGAAACACTCACATTAGCAAGGGAGCTTGGCTATGGTGATTCTTGGGGTGGGGGTGGTTGTGTTCAGGACAAGAGTGAGAGGATGGACATTCTCATTCTCAGCTCATCAGCCTGAATCATCCAAGATCTGGTTCTTTTATAGGCAGTTGGGCCAGTTGATTGCTAAAACCATCTAGCTTTCTAGTAAGAACTTCTCTAGCTGAATGGAGCTGGAAGGGATTATGCTGAGCAAAATAAGTCAGAAGGAAAATTGTAACTATTAGATGGTGTCACTTATATGTGGAATATAGAGACACCAAACAAAAAGTCAGGAAAAAGACAATTGCAAGCTGACCATGGATCTGAGGCCTGCAGCAGGGGAGGAGGAGGGAGTGGGGTCACCATAGGGAAGGGAAGGGACAGGGGACATGGATCATATGGGCCATGGTGGTGGTGGAACTACGGGGTTCACATCTGAGGGTGGAAATCAAACACCATCCCAAAATGAACTATGATGTGAAAAATAAAATAATTTAAAAAGAGAGAGATTTTCTAGCTGGCTTGCATTCCAGAGGGCACCAACTTATCCCAGACACCAGAATGTCATCATGGCAGAGTCACCTTCCACAGGCAACTCATGAGCAATAACTGTTCTCTTTCTGCCACTTTTTTTTTTAAGATATATTTATTTATACAAGCACTGGGGTACCGGCCAGAGGCACGGGAAGGTGAGAGAATTCACCAGAGACAGAGCAGGGAGCAGAACCGACAGGCAGAAGGACCTAAGTACACTGCTGAGGGGAGCAGCGGGCGAGACAGGAGAGGTCTGCCGCGCCATGTGGGAATCTCCCTGGCTGGCAGGGAATTGAACCCATGCTGCAGAGGCTGCGGACAGCTTCACAGCACTGCGCTCAACCTGCTGCGCCACCGGGGAGGCCCTCTGCCACTTTTTAGACCTGCAGCATCTTAGCTGAAATCTTGGGATGCGATGGCTATCATGTGATCTGTCGGAGCACTCACCCGGGGTGGCTCAAGGAGACCTGTTTCCACCAAAAGACAGACGCGTATGTCGCCAGAAAGAGTTCCAGCACCGTGAAGATGAGCATTATCGCCAGCACCCCCTGTAAATCAAACATGGAGGGTTGGCACCACGGCCAGCCCTGGCCGGCCTGGAAGGACTCTGGGAGGTGGAGAAGGGACAGAGGAAAAGGGTGGATCCTGTTTCCTGCTTCCTCTCTCGCATCTCTTCACAGAAGGTAAATAAGCAGACAGCTTCACCTCAACCGTGATATCCCACACTCTGAGATGAATCTGTTGTGTACCTCGAATTGTTTTCATTTCTCTTTGTCTTTGGTGTTTCTATTGTCACAATGGTGTTTCTAGGTGTGGGTTTGTTTTCTATTTCCTACCCTAGTCTCAGTGCATTCTTTCAGGTTGAAATTTAGTCTTTCTCTAATTCTGATCATTTTCACGTGTATTCCATTTTCTGCTATCCTCAGTATTCGTAATATTTTTATTCGTAGAGAATTTTAGTGTGTGGGTGGTGGTGGTAGGGGGTGTCCTTTGCTATGCAGGGGATTCAAAAGTTGGGTTTTTGAACATCTCCCAAATGGTGTTTTAGGTTTGATTCTGACAGAATCTGAGGAGTTCTGAAGATCCGGGAGCCGCTTTTAAATTAACCCCTTTATTTGAGGTTCTCTTACTTAATATGTAACTACAGATTTGGACAGCATACCTGCACCAGGCATGGGGAGCTGATTTCATCCTAGAAAGCTTTATGTCCGTTTCTACAGGCTTCTGGGGAGGTTGGGCAGAGGTTTTTGTGGGGTTTTTTGTCTATTTTTCACAAATAAGGTAAGCATGCAATCTCAAATCGTAACTTTGCTGTGGGGCACCCACTGTGGGGCACTGACCCTGGGCTCCCTGTGGGCCTGAGCAGCTCAAGTCCCATCCTGGACTGGGTGCTCAGCCATCTGAGCCTCTTGCACCCTCTCTCCCAGTCAGGCTTCCCTGCTGTTCTGGTCTCAGCGCTTGTAGGATACCTGACTTTAGGAGCCGTCACTTCTGGAATCAGCATTGATTTTCTTGTTGGTTTCTTCCTTCCTTCCACTCACACTTCCTGCCATGTTCCGACCTGGATACCTTTTTATGTTTTTGTGACTTTCACCTAGGTAATCTTTGTGTTAAAGAAAGAGTGGAACTTTGGGGTTCACTTAGTCTCCCAAGTTGCAGACTCTCATGTGGCAGACAGTTATGAGTCTGGAGGATGTACCAAGTTTAAGCCCCAGTCTCCCAGTGGGGTGGACAACTGTCCCACAGTCTTAGCTTTGCTTGAATAACACCCCACACCAGGTCTTACCACCTCGTGGGTTTCCTGATGCTGATTTCTAAGCAGGCGGGGCTCTCTGCTCTTCTACTTTTCAAGCTCCTGGATCTCTTGGCAATACCTCGTCACGTGGGCAGACCCGGGGGAGGCTGCAAGTCCTGACTCTTACACATTCATGAGACACACGGACCCAAAGGAAGGCGCCGATGGGCCCAGAGGAATGAGAGACAGTGTCTTTGCGTACCCTGCCTGTGCCACAAGGACTCACAAAGAAGGGAATCTTTCTTCTTAAAGGGCCAGGTGTAGGGCTCTAACCCTTGGAGCCTGTAGAGAGAGGACGGCCTAAGCTGAGGCCATCACCATCAACAGGTGGTGACTGTCAAGTGCGGGAGAAAGGTAGCAAGGAAAATGCTGCCCAGAAATGCAGGCGTTTCTGCTAAGAGTCAAGTCACTGGTGGGTCATCTCCCACCCCCTCATTCTCTGCAGCCCTGCTAGGCCAAAGTACAATAATTGTGTGCTTAGGCCAAAGGTGCAAATTCTGTGCCCAAACTTAATAGAGAATACACTGATCCCAAATTTAAATAAAATTCACATGGAAAGGGATACACCTGCCTGTTTGAAGGGGGAAATTCCTACTCAACAAAAGGGGGCACTTTGAGAGTAAAACCTGTTCAGATGGCGTATGAGTTAAGAGAGACTCCGGAGGGGCGAGGTGACCCACTGCCCTGCTTGATTTCCCCTTTCGAGTTGACACCACATGCGTCTTCATACGCTGCAGTCTCCTGACAGGTCGCTTGTAACCACCCTCTTCCCTGTCTGCTTCCAGACAGCCAGAGCAACAGAACAAGACTGCTGAGGCTGCAGATGACAGGATGTGCGATCCGAAGCACTTACTGTGAGGCCGACACCCACCAGGAGGCAGTTCTTCATTTCAGCTACTGAAGGATAGTAGCCCGCATGAGGCAATGAGGGTGGAGAGTCCTTTTCTGAGTCACACTGTCGAGAGAGCGTCCACAGGGCCGCCAGGCTGTGTGCGAGGAGGCAGAGTCCTGCCCCAGCAGCCGTGGCGCTCACCATGTTGGAGGCCACGCTGCTCAGCGCCTGGAGGAGAAGCTCTACATTGGCAAGCAGCCTCGAAGCAGCACAGGGTCTGCCACCCCTCCCCTCGTGGCCCTGCAAGGGGCTTCCCCTGGGCCTGGCTGCCCCTCTAGTCTGGGTACCCCCGGGGACACAGACTGTGGTCTATTCATCTCTGTATCCCCACTTTTACACCTGATACAATGAGTGAAAGAGTAAACGTAAGAGTAATTCCTTCTCCAGGGGAGGCCGTCTGGCTCTTCCACTCTCTGCGGTGCTGCGGACAGAGGCGGTACTGCCCAGGCCACTGTGATACCTCCTTTGACTCCCTCGACAGCTTTGGAACCATTCTATTGCTTTTAGAATGTGGATTTTGGTCCTTTCTGGGAAAACCCATTTATGGCTTCTCCTTCCATTGAGAAGCAGCTTCAGGGAAGGAGCAGAGGCCAACTGGAGAGGCTGGAGCCCGACTCACAGTGGAGCAGGCCCACGAGCACCACACTCACCTCACTGCTCTGGGAAAAGGCTCTCGTAGGCCATGAGTCCTTTGCAGAGACACTGGTGTGTCTGTGCTCCCTGCTGTGTGAGCGCCACTGGCGGCCCCGGGTGCCGGGGCAGCCACCTGCCCTTTCTCCCTGGCCCTGCAGCTGCAGCCTCAGAGGCCGAGTCCCAAAGGAAGAGTAGACTGCGCGGCCACCTGGGCAGTGGAGTCCACACATTGGCCTGCGTCCCATGTGTGGGCCCCCCATCATGTCAGGTCACCCCAAGGGCTGTTTTCCCTTTCTGGGCATTCTGGGCACTTGGGGAGCCACCTCTGAGATACACATGTTTATCTCCCACATTTTATAAATGAGACAACTGAAACCCAGAGCAAGAAGCAACCTTCTCGAGAACTCAGACATGTCAGCGCCGGGGCTGGGTTGGGGTTCAAGCTTCCTGACTCCCAGCTCAGAACCCCGACCCCATCCAAGGCCCTCAGAAGCCTGCACAGGCTCTGGCCTCGGCTTTGGCTGTCAGCATGAGGAGCACGTGTTGGAGTCACGCATCAGCCTCATGGATCCTGTGTGTCCTCATCTGAGACTAACCAGAGCCTGGATCTTCTCGGGTCAGGATGTGCCATTTCACTAAGTCTTCTATGTGGGCGTGTGGGAGCAGAGAGGGTGCGGTTGTTAAGGACAGGCTCAAAAGCCTCCACTGCCTCCTCCCTGGCCCCCACCCTTGTCAGCAAAGTGGTTACAATCTAATAATTCCCTGTTCCTGAGGGGGTTCAGGAAATAGCCACAGAGCTAAGACCACACACCTTGGCCTCTGCCCTTGCATTTAAGGAAACTGACTCATTGTCAGGCAATTTTTTTCCAGAAAAGATACCTCTAGGCTTTAGCTAGGATGGTCACCTCTCCCATTAAGGTCCAATATAACAAGTTATAAAGGGTTCAGGATATAGATCACAATTTCCACTGTTTAAGCAGCTGAGCAAGTCTCCCCCGAGCCTGGTGTAGGGCATGCACAGCACTTCGTAGATAAAAGAGCACTTGTCCAGAAAGCAAGGAATTCAGGCTCTTATGGGTCTGCCCATGGGCCAGTGGGGAAAAACTGGATCCCTCACCTGCTCTAAGACTATTTCCCTAAGGTGTCAGAAGAATTTTGAGTTGGAAGAATTAATTCTGAGGTTCTTTTTACCCTAACAGGCTGAGATGTGTTGGTTCTCATACTTACAAAGGGTTTAGTTGACTTTTTTCCAGAGATAATTGAGAAGGCTCCAGCAATGGCAAACTGCTCAGAAAAGAGAGAAGCAGTCAGTTGTCTATGCAACTGGGACTACCATGGTACTGTCCATCACTCAATCAACGAGAAATATAGAACTTCTAGGGAGATGACACTGGGGGGATGTGGTCTGGACTGATGGACCTGATCTCTGTCTTCAGGGTGCCTACGTTGACTTTGAAGAATAGCAGGTGCACAGAGGGGCTGGACTGAAGTTAGTTAAAATCACTAGGAGCTGGGCTTCCCCTGGTGGCGCAGTGGTTGAGTGCTGGGCTGCGAAGCTGCCTGCAGCCTCTGCAAAGCCAGTTCAATCCCCGGCCACCGGGCGAGGGTCCCACATGGCACGCAGACCTCTCCTGCCGTGCCCGCTGCTTCCCTCAGTAGTGTATTTCGTCAGTCTGCCTGTTCTGCTCCCCGCTCTGGCTCTGGTGAATTCTCTCACCCTCCTGCGCTTCTGACTGTACCCAGTGCTTGTATAAATAAATAAATAAATAAATAAATAAATCTTAAAAAAAAAATCACTAGGAGCTAAGGAAACCTGCAGAAAGGGAGGGAGGAGAGTGTTGCTAAACTACAAGACTTACAGGGAGCAAGCTGGCAGGGACCAGTGCTTGAAGGGCCAGGAGGGGCAGCAGCCAAGAACAGCATGTAGGAACGAGGCTATGACTGTGCAATGTGCAGAAACACGGGCTTGAGATGGGGTAAGTGGCCTGAGTAAGACTGGGAGCTGAGGAAACTGGGAAGTAGTAGGTCAGATGTGAAGAATCTGTTATCATAATGCCCCATGAGTCAGTGGTGAGTGTCCAGCTGGTGGAGGGAAGATGTACTGAGAAGGTGTAGCATCGGTTAAGTTTTGTGGCTTAGGGATTGAGTAATCACAGACAGAGGCGTTCTGCATGAGATAACCCCAGCTCTCATGAGAACGGGGGTGTCAGAATTCTGGTTAGATAGAGAAGTCAGGAACAAATCATGCTTTGGGGGCAGGAGCAGGGGCTCCATGCATTCCATGTTCACACAAGGAATGTATCATCCAGATGTGGTGACTTGGCATAATCCATCTGCCTAGAATGTGCACCATTGCCTCCTCTGCACAGATGACTACATGGAAAAGGTGACCCTTTCTGGGATGTGTAAACCTACACTGGTGATTCTCCATAGAAAAGGGTCCAGTGGGTCCTTCTTAGATGGAAGGCTGCAAAAGAGTTTTCAAGCGCTGAGGATTGCATCTAAGCACATAGAAAGGGTGTCCCTGCCTTCTATGAATCTCACATTGCTAGCTCAATTCTCTGGAAACCCACTAATGGCCATTATTTTATTTTAAAAATAAGCTTTTCACTATCTGCCTGTCAAGAGGTCGAGCCTTAAAATGGAGGGACTCCAATGGCCTCATTTAAACCCTAAAGAAGGGTGTGAAAACTCTTCCGCATTTCCAGAGGTCAGATAAGGTCAGATAAGAAATGCTATACTAGAATTTCCTACTAGTGTTACCTTTCCTCCTACCCCAACCAGTCACTTCCTGGGACTGAGTCACTCTGTCCACGGCTTAGCACCCAGTTACCATTCATAAAGAATTTCCCTCTTTGTGACCCAATTCTACTCACGCTCAGAGGTCCTACAAAGGGGTATGCAGACATCAAAATGGTGGAAACCGCTGCGCTGAAGTGGGAAGAGTATGGGGCAGAAGCCAAAATGACCCCCAAACTTGAAATAGTCAAGCAGCACAGGATCTGGATAACCTACAAGAGATAAGAGGGAAAATTCTAGAATACATTTTAAACTGGCGAAAGCGATTATTTTGAATGTGTAGGGAAAATGATAAAGATTATCAAGATATGTTATAATTTGTCATATTAGAAAGAGAAAGTGTTCTAAGGAGTCAAAATTCTCTAAGAAGTCATGCAACATTAACCTCTTTTCTTTTCTGATAAGATTATTAAGATAGCAAACGAGTTAAAACCCACAGTTGCTGCTATCTTAAAGGCAAATTACAAGAGATTTATTGTGGAGCATCCAGGTGGGAAAGACCTAGAAGTTTTAGTTAGTTTACAGAAAGGCCTGAGGAGGACAGGGTCTTCCCAAAAAGCTCCCTTTCATGTCCTAATGAGCGTGGAGTCAGACAGGAAAAAAACGAATGATTCTCCCAGATCACACAGCTTTCCCTGGCGTTTCCCTGATAACGAGATAAACTTACCCCCAGAACTGTGGCTTCTTTTTGCAGACTCTCCTTCAAGTCGTCTTCTTCTTGGTAGATGTGTCCAGGTTTCTCTCTTGTGGGGATGATAACCTCCTCTGAAGAGGAGGCCGCCAACGCTCCCTGGGGCTCGGGCTGGGATGGCATGGCGCTGGTGATGCTGGAAGGGCCAGCAGCTGCAGTTAGGACCCACGTTTGACTTCAAGATAGGGTGCGGACCAGGCTTGGCAGGAGCTGAAAAGAGACTTTCCTCCATTATGCCAGGGGTGACCTGCCCCTCAGGAGCATAACTGAATGTGGGTGCAGGGGAAGCTGGCGTGCTGGCACCGTCCCACCGCTGTGGGCAGGAGTAAGTCTGGGGGCAGGGAAGGAGTTCTGTCAAGGAGCCCCACAATTGAGAGGTGAACAATTCATATAGAACTTGCTTTGTAGCCCCCTCCCTCTAATAACCCCCACTTCCAGCTTTCTTCCATTACTCTGCACCTCTGCTTCACCTGGGGTACCCCCAAAACCACATCTTACAGGAGTGGGCTTTTACAACATCCTGCTGCTGGTCTGTGTTCTCTCAAGTTCTTACTTTCTCTCCATTAAGATGCTAATGATCGTGTTCCTCTCCCCGTGTTCCTGGACAGGGCTAGTCCCACCTAGACGGACTCCATTTGTCAATTAACCTAATAATTGCTAATATCAACATTTATTTTGCTCCTTTTGCCTTCCAGGCACTAGGCCAGACTAACCTAATCCTTACAACTGCTCTACAACTTAGATGTTATTAAATCCATTTTATGCTTTTGAAACTCAAAACTAATAAATTCAAGTGAACTGCATTAAATGAAGTTGTCTCACGCAGCACTTGGCACGTTGAAAGTCTAATGCTTGGGAGCAAATATTTCCACCTTATTTTCACTCCTAGAGCTATGCCTTCATTCAGGTTCCCTGTGCTCCCTGGGCATCAAGAGTTATTGAAAATAAAGGTCTCTATGTCGAAGGAACTAATTTCCATTTCTTGCAAGTAGAAGTCTGGGTGAGGCTAGAGGAGCAGGGAGGGGAGCGCTGTGGACACAGTCCTCGCAGGAGAGCTGGGCAAGGAAGCCAGTGACAGTCCAGGGCCCTGTGCTCAGTGTTCTCGCCCAAATGGGAAGCCAGGAGAGTAGGATATGCATCAGGTTTGGAAGGACTCCAGGTCTCCAAATCAAGCAGCAGTTTCTGGAAAAATGATAATGACTGCTAACATTTATTGAGCATCTACTATAAGCCTGGGACTCAGTTAAGAGCTTTTGTGGAGTCTCATTTCATCTACACAATACTCAGAGGTTGGTGTTGGCTTACTTGAATTGTGCAGGGAAGAAAAACGAGGTTTAGAATTCTGCATGGGATGGTGTATCTAGCATGTAATGGAGGCAAGATGAGACCTAGGCAGTCGAATGCCAGTGGTGTTTACCCCTGTGGGTTTAGGCTATTTAGCTGCACGTGACCCTCAGCCCCTGTATCCTTCCTCCCTTACAGCCAAAGTTCATCGGCTGCCCCTCCTCAGCTTCATATTCACCCCCAGGGACATTTCTGATCTCAGGAAATGGGGTTCAATGGTCTCTATCCCCAGAGTTGTCTCCACATTCTGGTAACTTGGCTTCTATCTTGCTTCTTGGGGTTTGAGTTCCAGCATGCTAATTGGACCCCTTCTTTCTGGTCTTATTAGCCAGCCTCTTAAAGGCCATCCATATTGGTCCATATTACAGGACTTAACTTCTTTATAAAGACTGACCTTGAGGATTTGTGACAGTGAAATAAGCAGTCACAGAAAGACAAAAACTGTGTGATGCACCTACAGAAGGTATAGAAATTACTAGAACTCTTGGGTGCAAAGACTAGATGACCGGTCACCAGAATCTGGGGCGGGGGAAACAGGACTGTTCACTGCATAAGATTCCAGTTCTGCAAGATCAGTTCCAGAGACCTGTAGCCATCACAGAGAACCACGCTGGATTGGACACTTAAAGTCCTGCTAGCCGGGTAGATATTATATTAAGAATTCTTAGCACAATGAAAACATTTAAAAAGCTGAGTTTGAGAAGAAAGTAAAAATGATTGACCTCAATTTAAGATTGAAAAAAAAAAAAAAGTCTCCTTAGTTCTGAATTTCTTCCTGTATTTTTAGAGCTCACACCCATTAGCGCCAATATCTACTTAATTCTAAGCCTGAAGCTAGGGTTTAGAAGCCCATCTTCGACCCTCTCGCTACTTTTCTTTTATCATTTTTAAATTGTTTTCTTTACAAGGGTGAATAAAACTGCTCTCCTTTTGTCTGTCTCCTCTTTGTTTACCCACGGTTACATATGTTCATAACTCTGCATAAACAGCCACTGCCCTCCTGCCAGTTAAAAATCTTTTTCAGTTCAACATTATTCCATGGACCTCATTGACTAATGAGTGCAGATAACTCAAACCCTAAATTTAAAAGCCAGATGGTAAGTTCTGATGCTGGCGATGACATAGACGAACCTGGAAGCTGACGTGGGAAGTGGAAGAGATCACAGGAGAACAAATCCTGTGGGATTCTCCAACTAGGATGCAGCTAGAAGCTCAGTCAGGAGACCAAAGCCAGGATGAGGTGCGGGGATTAGGGGAGAGGCCTGTGGGGCTGCAGTTTGGGAAGAAGAAACCTTCTGGAGTTGGCTGCGCAGGAATGCAAATGCATTAAAGGCCACTTGTAAGATGCTACATTCTAGGTGATGTATATTTTATCACAATAAAGAAAGAAGGTAGATCATGTATGTATATACAAATATTTGACCCTACTCCTCTGGAATTATAAACAACTGTTTCCACCTAATCATTTTTAATATTATTTTTATACTTCACTGACCATTGATTTTCAAAATGAATCCATAAGATGGAATACTAGAAAATTAATAAATGAACGGAGTTTCAACATGAACTTAGCTATCCCCATAGTCCCGATTATTTAAATTGTTTCATTTTCTATGCTGTTATTTTCTGTGCTGTTATTTACTACACTGTTTACTTTCTATGCTGTTTATTTCCTATAAACAACGCAAAAGTGACCAGTTTGCACCTTTCTGCTGCCTCACCTATTCAGTGATCTCCTCAGAGTAACATTTAGGAGTGAACTTATTGAGTTCGAGGCCATACAGTCAAATTCTGACACACATGGCTACCTTGTGGGAGGAATTCTGTGTCACCACGATTCATCATGGCTTCACAGGGTGTCTCCAGATCAATGCCATCACCTCCAGCCCCCACAGTCTGAGAGGACGTCTTCACGTTCACCAAGTGGAGAAAGTGTTGGGTAACCCACAACTTCTCAAGACAGTGCTAACGCTCCCACTTTGGAGACCCATGGCAGTTTGGGGGACAGTGTCCTCCATCACAGAACCATCACAGAACAACGGGGTCTCCTCGGGACTCAGCCTAGTTGTCTAGTATCTGTTGAGAGCGCAAGACTCAGGGACAACCCCAGGAGATGCAGAGGGTTGTAGAAAACATCGCCTAAGATCGTGAATGATTTCACCCAGTTCACTTATTTGGCAAGTGAGTAAAATGCAGCTCAGCGAGGGGACTGACCCACAGGTTTGTTTAGGGGAGCAAGAGAGACAGGAAGACACTGATTCCCTGGATGGCTGGTCACAAGCCAGTACCTACCCCGCAAAGTCATGGTCCAAACCCAGGCGCCTACCTGTTGTCACCGCCTGTCCACTGTGCTGGCGCTGGGGGGGGCCAGCTCGCCTTCTGGGAGCACCTGGCCAGCACTTCCCACTGGCTCTTCCTGCCAGGAGGCTCTGCTCTCCCGTCTGGCGCGACTTCCTGCTTCTTCCTCAGACCAGTATCTATGAAACTTACAAAGGATGTAAGTTTCACTGTTCTTACAGTTAATACATGAAAACACTTCTGCTTCCTCTTTCTGAATTTCAAGTTCTGGAAAATGGCATGCAACAGAAGGCGCAGAAGGGAAAGAGCGTGAGGAGACTGAGCAGCTGTGCTACTTAGGGCAGTTTCCCCCATTGCTCTAATAGGTCGACTGGTTTCTTTTCACCAGAGTTTTCTCACCTGCTGAATGGGGTGGACGCTCCTAATTCCACCACATGGTTGTTGGGAGAGTTAAAAAGAAGGCTGGAAAGAGTTTCCAAGAAGTAGGCACCTGACGGCAGTTCACAGGGATGGTGTTCATGTCGCCTTCGGGAGAGCTGATTTCTTTCCCCATTTCCAAGGATCTGGGCAAACTCGGTCACCTGTGGGGACCCACTGCCCAGTGGCTAGTACTTTGGAGTGTGTTCATTCTTTCTGTCTTCCTGGATCCCCAAAGTCATGTTTGGGGAAGTCCAGGCTCCGCCCGAGGGGTGTCAGTGGACTGGAGTCGGAAGCAGGGCTCTTGGGGGGTCCAAACAAGCTCACACTTGGGGAAGCAGGGGTGGCTGAGAAGAAGTCTTTGCCCTTCTCACATTCCTTTGGGCGCCTCAGAGACGAGCGCTTGCTCAGGACGGGGGTGCGGGCAGGAGGGCTGTGGGGAGCACAGGCGGGAAACATGGCTCCTGACTTTCTCAAAGTCCCAAAGGCAGGCCGGACAGTCCCCTGAGAGTGGTGAATCTTGGGGGGTGGGGGTGGGGCAGCCAGGAAGGTCATAAAGCGAGAGAGGGTATTGTTGAAGAAGGCCAAGTCCCATGTCAGGTTAGGGGAAGAGGCAGGGCTGGGAGCAAAGTAGCTCTGCACCCCCCCCCACTCCCCCCACACATGTGACAATAGGTCATTGTTCACAACTTCACCCTTAGACCAGCATCGTCCTCATTTACAAGCCCCTCACAGCCCAGCTCTTCTCTGGCACACATATATCGTTGAAGAAGAATCTGATGATTTGTGTTTCTCTCACACCCGAGCCTGAGAAGGAGTTTGCCGGAACGTCGATTAAATATCCAGTCAGTTTTCTCCCAAGCCAAATGAGAATGAAAAGGCCTGGAGAGTTTTTGTGAGGATGAAGTCACATACACAACCACCCAGCACAGAATCTGGCGTACATTAACTTTCAGGGAAAATCTGCTACTAACATCTCGGCCGACCTCCTGCTGAGAACGAATCTGCCTTTATCTCTAGACTGATGTGTGGTCTGTGTCATTTTTCTGTGTTTACCTTAATGCCTTCTCCCCCACCTGCCACCCGCCTGCGTTCACCGGGAGATCCTCAGCGCCTCTCATGAGTCCCAGGCCCTCACTGTCGAGGACTCGTGACGCTCAGCCTGCTCAAGGGTGCCGTCCTGGAATTTCCCGAATCCCACCTTCCCCATCCCCAGCTGACCGTGAGTTAGGAAAGTGGAAGTAGGGCCTCCCCCGTGGCGCAGGGGGTTGCGTGCAGCAGTGTGGGGCTATCTGCAGCCACTGCAGCACGAGTTCGATCCCAGGCCAGGGAGCTACCCACATGGCACAGCAGACCTCTCCTGTCTTCCCCGCTGCTCCCCTCAACAGTGTATTTCAGCCAGTCTGCCTGTTCTGTTCCCCACTCTGTCTCTGGTGAATCCTCTCACCACCCCCATCTCTGACCTGTACCCCAGTTCTTGTATGTATAAATAAATAAATCTTAAAAAGAAAAGTGGAAGTACAGCTCAGACAGCTGCTGACCTTGAACACAGAGGATTGAGATGGTTTTTTCTCCAGGAAATAAGGGATGGGGGTGTGGCTGAGCGGTCCCCCAAGGCTCTCCACAGTCCTCTGTGACCTTTGACTGTGGTTACTGACAGTCCTCGCGGGGCTTTCCCTGCTTCTTAGACTCTCACCTCAAGACAGCAGACTGAAAGCTAAAGAACGTTTTCCCAGCCTCACATTTTACAAGGAAGACACCAAAGCCCAAAGTTCACTCAGGGAGCTAGTGGCTGGGGTGGTGCCAGGTTCGTGGGGTATTTATCTCAATGACGCTTTGACAATTTCTTGATGACCATTAACAAAAATACATAAAAAGAATATTTAACTATTTTCAAAAAAAATTTTTTCATGGTAGTAACATTGTATTATAACAAATTTCAGAGGGGTGTCCTGGGAATCCACCTGTGCATATACTACATTCAGCTCACTGCTAAGAGAGCAGTTTTAAGAATATGATTTGAAGTGAATCTCTTGAGGTGAAAAAGATTAAGCACACTTGGATGGGTTTACTTAAAAATTTGTTCCTTGGCCAGTTGTGAGAATCTTGAAACAATTCTGGATGTCTGTCCCAAGGTGGATGTTCTGATGCCGTTGGCTTGTTTATAACATGCCTCCTTTCGAAACATTCATTCTTGACACACTTGGCTCTCATTTATACACCTATAAGAATAAGGATTTTCCCCCCAAAACAATGCAATTTGCATCAATCTGCTTTATTAGATGCAGCAAAACTCTTAGCCATGTAGGTTACCAGTTTCATCCTCTCCATATTCTCAGTGATCTTGTAAAATACTAACTTTAACTCATCTTCTATATACTTAACATTAACCTTAACTTTTGCTAGATGACAATGCCACCTAGAAACTTGCATTTTAATTTTTTTAAATTATAAACTAGATTTTATCAAATATGACAATGGTTTTGCTCTCGTGACACTGGTCACTAATTTGACTGCTATGAAGAACAAAAACACTGTTTGCCCCCACAGTTGCAGGGTGGACACCTTTGTTCTGTTTGTATCTGTGAGTTTGAATTTCTTTAAAAGTGTTCTTTTTTAATTTTACATATATTTTACATCATTCTTCCTTTCTCTATAAAGTATGCTTTCTCCTCTGAGGTACAGTCCCTGTAAAATTCCCACCAATTCTCCCGTGCACCATAGGTAAGCTATGGAAACAACCCAAATGCCCCCAAACAGATGACTGCATCAAGAAGATGTGATCCATATACACCATGGAATATTACTCAGCAACCAAAAAAGATAAACTCATGCCATTTGCAGCAACATGGATGGCGCTGGAAGGGATCATGCTCAGTGAAATAAGCCAGAAAGAAAAAGAAAAATACCAGATGGTTTCACTTATAGAAGGAATGTTGGGGGGCGGGTCAAACAAGGGATGAGAAAAAAATAATTATAATAAATTAAAAAACAAAATTAAGCAACTATAAATCAGAGACATTCTGCGGGGTAGGGGGAGGGAGAGGGATCCAAATAGGAGAGGGAAGAGCACAGAAGTGTTCTTCTACAGGCTGGCTGAGAAAGCCACTTTTGGTGATCTCTTTTGTAATTCCTTCTTGGGTGAATGGGGTTTCATTTTGTAAACTGGGAGCGACTGCCTTGTCTGGGGCAAATCAAAAATGGGGTGGTGACATCTTGAATGCTTAGCAGAATTTCAAGAGAATGTAAGAAAGACCAACAATTTTTCAGCTTTTCTTGCCAATGTTCGGAAAGCTTTTACTGCTATGGTTTAGAATCAACGTATAAATAGTGTATAAAAACTTTCATTTTCTTCCCTATCACGTATCTCTTAAAAAGAATTCTCATTATTCATTGTTTGCCTATAATCCTTTTGTATTTTTGTAACATTTCTGTGTGCTGTATTTCTCTAAATTATTTTAATTAAAACCTTAGGAAAGAAAAAAAAATGGGGTGGTGGTTGGGGCCCCTCCAGGTGCAGGAAATAAGGGTGGTATTGTCTGCAGACTCCTCTATAACAATAACAAACCCTAGCTGCCTTTTATCACCCATGTGTAAGCAATTGTAAATAATATTGATGTCAAAGTACTCTGGGGAAGGAAAATATTTTGTTGGTCTAAATTCTAATCTATTGATAAAAATTGACCTATATCTCGGGCGGATTCCTCCAACAGCCCCTCCCTTGCCATGACACCTTGTTATCTGGTCTCAGGACCTCAGGTGCACTGAGCACCCAGACTCTCCTGCCTGATGAGCGTTATCTCCACATAGACAGCTCAGAGTGCAGGCTTTACAAGGTCTAGGCAGGGCTAGAGTCAGAGGCCCTGACTCAGGACTCTGCTGCCATCTCCTGGGCGATTATAAGAACTACACAAGTTCATCTACCTGCACACTCGCGGTGCTCTTGGGTACGTGTGCGTGATACTTTCAGAATGCAGATGGAACGGGGAGCATCATCTAAGACACAAGAAATGAAGATGCACATTTTCTGCCATTTATTTTTATTCCTGCCGTTTGCTTTTGCTGTTGTTTGCTCTAGCAGGAACAGTACCAGAAGGGCACATTCTATGTGTGGTGTGGTTCAAGGAAAATAGGGCCTGGGAGGATCTCCTGTACCCAGCTATATAGGGTTCGTGGACCCAATTCTTCAGCGTGTGGGAGAGGGCACTGCTCACACCACCACCAAGCAGTGCCTTGGACTGCAGCTGGGTGCCCTGGACTCCACCTGGGTGTCCACAATTCTGCTCAGTTCTGATTCCCTCTACCTGGGAGCAGCGCCAGGTTCCCAGGTTATGGGTTCAGGCCTACACAACGGCCCTCCTCCACACCCCACCTTGACTTCAGGGGTCAGTTTGAGCCCAGTTTGTCACCTGTGTTTGTGACCCACCAGATGCAGATTGGAGATTCCAGGACACCGCTGTTGTCTCCTATCTTAAGAGTTACTCCTGGTGGTTTGCTTCCTGTGCTCCCCTGACCTATCCAACGTAAACTATATGCTATTTGTAGGTATTAATTAGTTGATACATTTTCAGTCCCAATATGTAGCAGACGCCAACTAATTCCTGAAGAATGGTGGCCGCTGTCATCACGCGGTTTATGATCTGGGAGGGGCAGAATAGTCGCTTCATTTCTTTGATAGTGAAGTCATGTATTTAGTGGAGACACAAGAGGGCGTCCATGGGCAAGAAAATGTGTTGTGAACGCCCTTCTCACTGTCTTCTGGGAGGTTCTCAAGAAAGGGCAGAGCTGAAGCTCCAGTTGAACCACTGATCCATCAAAATGTCTGTATAGACAATAGACCCTAAAGTTCTTGCCATAAAAAAAAAAAAAAACAAACGTTGTAATTGTGCATGGTGTGGCTGTTAACTCGACTTATCGTGTTAACTCGACTTATCACTTTCCATTGTGGACAAATGCCGAGTGTCTGTGTTGTGTGCCTAAAAGATCCAACCTCACCATTCATCGGTAGAGTTCTTGGGCTCGTGAGGAAAATAAATTGCACTCCTCTTGTGTTTACAGAACACCTGCTGATTTACAAACCACTTTCACTTCCTTTGTCTCATTCTATTAACAAACACCAGTCCTCCCTCACCAGAGCCCAGTTATCAGGGCAGGTAGATTCCTAAGGGGGTGGGAGGAGGTTTATGAAGATAGAGGCAGAGAATCTAATGGATAAAGAGAGGGGAGGGGGGTCCTCAAAGAGCCATTTCTCAAGTTCCAAATTCCACTCTTTGCTGTGTGATCGTAGCTCTGCCTCCTACTTTTTCTGAACCTCAGCAATTTGGGGCTAATACCTTCCCTGTAGAGGATGAGGATTAAAGGAGATATTTTGCAAAGCCACTTGTTCCGTTCCCTGCTCACAACAGCCCCTCAATAACTGACCCCAGATTCCAGAAGCCCCAGCCCGTTTCCTATTTGCACTGGCATATTTGGGGGAAGAATCCACGGCCTCCCTTTCCTAAGGAAAATGAGTTTGCACATGGGGACAAGTGTTTCTGGACCCAATTCCAGGGCGAATGTCTGTAAAGTCTCTCCCACACCAACAAATAATTCCTGAAAACCAGTGGAGTGTCTGAGAATTCAGCTCAATTCTGACACCATCTGCCCAGAGATAGCACCGGATTCCACGCGTTAAGGACTCAGTCTCCAAGACTGCCTCCCTCCCTGCTTCAGAAGCTGGCCTAGGTTGTTACTGCACTTCTCACCAACCAGCTGCAGGTGAATGGTTCCCAGGACACCCTCCTCAGGTTCTCTTAATTTGCTGGCATTTGCTGACAGGACTCAGGAAACCCGTTTACTCACAAGCTCATCAACTTATTACAAAGAGCACTGTTCAGAAGCAGCTAGTTGGGAGATGCAGAGGGCATGCCTGGGGAAAGCTGCCATTCCACTCCAGGAGACCACTCTTCAGGCACCCCCATAGCTCACCTCCTTCACTCACCTCTTTTGGGTGATGATGGAGGGTTCATTTCACAGGCATCATTGACCGAATCATTGACCGTTGGCAGTTGACTTGAAAGAAGTCCTGGCCCTGTAATCCCGTGGTGATCCTGGCAACCAGCCCCCATCCTCAGGTGCTTCCAAAAGTCACCATATTCACATCGCAAGAGATGCCTTTATCTGCCCCAGCACTTGGGAGTTCCAAGGCTTTGGGGAGCTGTAAGGCAGAAACTGTGGATGAGGACCAAGCACATGCTAGAAACATATTTTGCATTTCTGAATGACCAATAAATATGTCTTATACATCGCAATATAGTTTTAAGTCATTAGTTTACTAAAACAAATTATAATGAACGACTGCCAAAGAAAAGCTTTGTTTCAATTAGAGAAGATGCGGCCAGCAAGCTTGGCAGAGCTGATCATGCTGGGCTCAGAATTCCAAGGAAATAACCCATGAGAACATTGTGTCCTGTTGCTGAAGTTGGACTTGAAGAAAAGCTCAGAGATTTTATTTAACTTCTTGTAGCATTTATTTTTCCCTTCTCTAACATCACAAGATAAAACCCAATGTACCAAAAACATGTTTTTTCTGACTCTTAATAAAATGGAAGTGTTTGAGTAATGACTTGGTGATCATTACTTCCTGTGGAAATCAATGTTCAAAGGAAGTGAGACCGGATTTCCCTGAAATTGTAGGTCATCAGAATTCATCTTACGGAAAAAAAGGAAACAATTCTTTGTTGTCTTTTAAAAGTGTATTTTTTCAACCTGAGTGTTTTAATTGGCCTGAAAGGCATTCTCCAAGAGTTTAGATTGAGAAACTAATTGACTTAATCAGTAAAATGGCTGCAGAGGGGTAACTTGAACAGAATCAAGCGAGCTGATAATGACAGAGAAGAGCCTTGTTTCCATGTTGGCAGGAAGCAGTGGGTTATTGTCATTGAGAAGATGGCCCGTGGGAGTTTCTAGCATTTATTTTATATATTAGCATATATAATGTTAAAAGATTGATTTCTTAAAAATAATAATTTTCTTGCCACGTATCTGTTATTATAGAACTTTCAGTTCTTAACCATACAGGAAACCTATACAGAAAAAAAAAAAAAGGTTTATGTTTCTTATTTGGAATTATACAAGCTCTCAAAAAAAATCTTTTATTAAGAGAAAGCAAAGTAATATCCTTCCTAGACTGAAAATAATGAGGAGCAGTGCTTTAAGAGAGTGCCTCGAGTCACCAGAACTTAGTTCTTAATATATTTGTTTTTTAGGTTTTCTTGTGCCCTAATCTTTCCTACCAGATGTCTGAGGCTTTTCCTTTCTCTTTGGCTGAGGTTGAAATGGAATTTTCTCTGATAATGTATCTCAGCTTGCTCCTACATCCACTCCGTGCATGACTAAAATGTCCTCATCCAATATCATTTCAAGGAAATGTTCCTGCACAGATATTTCTAAATGAAGAAATTAAAAAAAAAAAAAGGTACATGCCTGTCTTCAGTGATATAATAAACTGGTAAGAAAGACAGTTCTATAAAAATATAATTTTGAGGCCAGGGGTGCTCTGGTGGTGGGGGAGCTGTGGTGACCCCTTCTCTCATTCTTCTGTAGGAGCACCCACAGCAGCCCAGGTGACCATCATGGCCCCAGGTAACTGGAGCCTCTTGAGCCTAACTCTGTGTCCATTGTTGTTTCTTTCCACTGTTACTTCACATGGGAGTCAGAAATATTTCGGAATTTTTTTGAGAATGGTAATTCCAGAAGAGTCCAAACAGCATAGTTTTTGAATTAAGCAAAGCTGGTTTAAATGTCTCTCCACCAGCTCTTTGAATGTCCCTGAACTTCAGTTTCTCTGACAGACACCAGACAGACATATCCAAAGGCAATGGCCGGGAACATGGTAAACATTCAATCATTTAAAATATAGACACGATCACATCGATGAACTAAATATAGATGTGATCACATCAATGAACTTGCAGACCTTTTATGAGTTGTCCTTATTCATGGAATAAATGCCAAGTCCTGAACCGTGAGTTATCCAGCTGTTTCTACTCTCACTCCTGGTCTGGCCTCTGTGATCTGGAAGCTCTTCCCATTTCTGAACGGTGGCCTCTCTTCATTCTGTTCTCTCCGCCTGGAGCCCCTGACTCTGCTTCCCCTCACTCACCGTCTCCTACTCGTCCTCGTCTGTGATCTGTCTGCCTCTTGTGCCTGCATCTGCTCTCCAGGGACATGCCCCCTCCTCCAGGAAGCCTCCTCTGCCTGCCCAACACTGGGCTAATGGACCCTCCTGGGGGCTCTTCTGGAATGCCTGTTTCCTGGCAGGTTCTGGCGATCCCGGGTTAGCAGACTGTGCTTTCCTGTCTGTGTGTCCCGTAGCCTATCAGCATCTTGGAGACAGGGCCTGTGTCCATCATTTTTCACCCTTTTATCTGTAGCCCATAGCACACTGCTTGGTTCGCGGTAATAGAAAAACAAAACAAAAGGTCAGACAAAGGTAAACTTACAAACCAACCCTTGAAAACTGACCATGGATCTTTCTTTGGCTTTCAGCGAGGAGAGACGAGGAGAACACAGCGGACCGTGGTGGAGGCCGTAGGTGCTTTGGCCATGGGAGGGATGCGCCGACTGCCCTGGGGGGAGGGATCCTGCCAGCAAGGATGCAAAATAATAGCATTTCGATAACTGAAATGGCATGAGAGGGCAGTGAAGCCAAAAATAAAAAAAGGAAAATGTGGATGAATGAGAAGGAAATACCTCTTTGCGTTCTTCTTCCACATCCATTATTATTGATTCCATTTTACAAAGAAAGCATTTTAGGTTCAGCAAAATAAGAATGAACTGGATTTGTATTTGCCTCAAAGTCCAGATCCACACACTTTCTAAAACACCAGCTGCTTCTTTGATTTAGAAACGTAATTTCCTGCCACCCATCTCCACTGGTGGAATTGCACGTGGAATTGCAGGTGCGTCGACGATTGTCCAGGAGACAAGGAACACAGGTGAAGATGTGACCTTATGAAAAGGCCTTTGCAAATGACTCCCAGGTGCCATGCATCCATCTGGGCACACAGACCTTTGAGCACTTGTGACACAGTCCATCCTCTGCCACGATACCCAGGGCTGGGGCCACTATTATTTTCCTGGAAAAGACTGTGTGAGGCCGTCACTGCTTGTTTGGCAAATTTCATAACAGACATTCACACTCACGTTAGAGACAAAATCAGTCAGTGCTTCCGACGTGAAAAAGGAACTAGTTATGAGTATCAGCAAATTCTCACCACAGCCTTTGGGGCTCAGAAAAACCACTGGAAGAGGAATGCAGATTTCAACGGAGTGAGGTGTGGAGTCGGGGAAGTGACTGTTATCTGGACGAAGGTGCTTGGCCAGGGTCTCCTGTACCCCTGACCCAGAGCAGCACTGCAGGCTTGAAGCAAGGTAGGTCCAGGGAGGTGCCTTCCTAGGCTTTGGGGGTGATGGGGTTCTCATCCACAGGTCTAGGATCCCTGGGAGTGGGAGGAGAGAGGATGAGCCCCCATCCTGGGCCCACGCTGGTATTCTGGGTTGGGGTGGGCTGTGTGCTCTGTTAATTACACATTTAGGGGGCCCTGGGGAACAATCTTTGCTGCAGAGGATCTGGGTAAGGACGGCACCTGAAGGCTGGCGCTAGCTGTTGTATTAGATTGTTTCAGTTACTTTTGTTTAGTAAATAAATCTCCTGGCTATCAAGAAGCTGAGTGCAGTATTTTACTTTTGACTAATTACTTCACATATTCTTGATATCCTTCCTTCCGTCTCTAGCGTGTTATTTTTATAATGCTACAATTAAGGAAAGGTTGATCCCCTGCAGAATTTGGTGCAGAAGTTGTAGGGCAAAGAGCAGGTTTTATGCAGGCCCTGAGATAGACTTGATCTGACCCAGCTCTCCAACCACCTGTCACCATGCCTGAGACACCCCAGACATAAACTGAAGGAAGAGAGGAAATTCTTCACCTTCTTGGGGCCAGCGAGAAGCTTGAAAGCCTTTGTTCCCAGTGCATTCTTTCGAAACCCAGAGAAGGAAAAGGACTTACGGGGGTCACATTAGTCAGTAGAAGAGCTAGGAGTTGAACCCAAACTCCTTCATTCCTAACCCAAGCCTTTTCCTGGCCCAGGCCACCATTTCTACTTTCCATCCTCCTCCTCCAGATCATTCGAGTTCAGGCTCCTTCCAGACACCTGTTGTGTTTCACACAAAGGAGATTCGACAAGGGAGAGGGAGAGCCTCAGACCACCTTCCTCTGCTCCCTGTTTGGCAATGGTGACCCACGAGCAGGATCGTGATTAGGAATAAGGAGACAAAAGATGGTTGGAAAGCTGGTCCTCAGAGGGGTTGGAGCAGGTGGAGGGAGAAGGGGGAGTTTTCTAGGTTTCTTCTGTGTCTTCTAGGAACAACTACAGAAAGACACTGGTTGTCAATCACCCAATACATGTCTCAGACAATGTGACAGGTTGCCATCAGTCTCCCAGCTCTGGAGGAAACGTCCCTCATATCTATGCAGTGTTCTCTGCTGTTCTGATTTCCTTGGTATTTGGATATAGGGAAGTTGAACCCTGGAGACTAAGCACAAATGCTCATCCTGGGGGCATTTGCCCTCCCTATGTAATTAACACCTGGATGTCTTGGGTGTGAAAGTAGGAAGTAATGACATGAGTTTATAGACAGAGTTCTTTACAAAGACAGAGGTGTGACCAGAATGCTGGTCAGAAGTATGGAAATACCCTGAGTCATTTGAAAACATTATTTTAATCTAGCATCTCTGTCCTGAAGAAGCTCAGTGATATTAATTATAGAGGAAGAAGCCCCAGAGGGGCTTGATAAGGCATAACCTACATTTCCTAAAGCCTTAATCTGAATATATGTCTGGAAGAGCAATACATGGGTTCATTGGCGTTCAAGGGAAATCAAGTAAAACACACATTCAACTGGGCTAAGAATTACCATTGGTAGCTACTTTGTTAACACGTTTGGCCTCCAAGATGGAAGATGAGGATAACAGAGAGCTCTTCAGCTGCACCTGACCATCGTAGACTGAGTAAGATGCATGTGGGGTGGTGGAGAACTGTGCCTGGGAGAAGCGGAGACCGCAGTACCATCAGCGTAGGACAAGAGCCAAACCGGGTAGTTTGCTGCTGCTGCAGGTGGCAGACCATTCCCATTAATGGGCTCACTCCTCAATGAGTGAAATACCTGCTTTGGACATATTAAAATAAGTCAAATATATTCATGAATAATGCCGCTAACAACATGCATATACATTTTTTGGTGTGCAGTTTTTGTTTTTGTGTGGACATGTGTTATCATTTCTCTTGGGTGTTTTCCCGGGTGTGGGGGTGCTGGGCCACCAGGGAAGTCTATCCTTGACATTTTGAGATGCTACCAAGCTATTTTCCCAAGTGGTTACACCAGCTTACAATCTCAGCATCAGCGTTTGAGGGTTCCAATTTCTTCATGTTCTCACTACCATTTGTGTCTTTGTCTTTATTTTTTCCATGCTAATGGGTGTGAAGTGGTGTCTCATAGTGGTTTTTATTTGCATTCCTTTAATGAGAAATGTTGAACATTTAAAGTATGCTCATCAGTCATTGCATACTTTCTTCGAAAATGTTCTTTGCCTAAGTATATAGTCAACAGTGGCTAACATCAAGATAAGTTAAAAAAATGTTATCCTTGTCTTCAGTACAACTATTTTTTGTTTTCAACTCTGTCTATCTATCTATCTATCTATCTATCTATCTATCTATCTATCTATCTATCTATCTATGAAACATTGGTTTACAATGTTGTATATGATTTAGAGGTGTAGGAACGTTAGGTGTATGTCACAAAACCACACCTGCCATCAAGGTACCAAAAGTCCTCTTGATGCAATTATAAATAAGGTTGTTTTCTTGACTACTTTCTTGTCTGGTTCATTGTTTGCATATGGGAATGTGACCAATTTTTATATATTGATTTTGTAACATGCCACTTTACTGTACTGATTTATTGTTAATAGCTTTTTTGGTGGAGTCTTTAGGATTTTTCCCTATGTACTATCATGTTATTCGCAAATAGTGATACTTTACTTCTTTTTCTCTAATGTGGATTCCTTTTATATCTTCCTCTTGTCTAAATGCTCTAGCCAGGATTTCTAATACTATATTGAATATAGCAGTGAAAATGGACATCCTTGTCTTGTATTTGATCTTAGAGGTAAAACTTTGAGTTTTCTACCATTGAGTGTGATGTTAGCCATGGGTTTGTCATATATGACCATTATTATAATGAGGTAAGTTCCTGCAATTCCCATTTTTTGGAAAAAATTTTTTTCATAAATGAATCTCATTAAATCCTTTTTCTGTGTCTATTGACATGAGTATGTGGTTTTTATCTTGATTTTGTGGGTGTGGTGAATTATATTGCTCATTTTGCAGATTTTGGACTGGACTGGTCATGATGTATGATACATTTAAAATTTTAATGTTTTGCCAAATTTGGCTTGCTAAGGTTTTATTGAGCATTTTTGCATGTATGTGAATCAGGGATATTGGCCTGTAGTTTTCTTATTTTGTGATGTTCTTGTCTGTTCTTGGTAACAGGGCAGTAATGTTGGCCTCATAAAATGTGTTTCAAAGCTTTCCCTCTTTCTCAGTTTTTTTTTTTTGGTGGGGGGAAGAGTTTGAGAATAGATATTAGTTCATCTAATCCCTTCCAGAGAAATCCAAATCCTTTTCCAGTACTTAGAAAATGTGTGCCTCTGGAACATTTGTTTACCTTGTGCTGCCAACAAAAGGGTACATCTTTCCATATTTGACGCTTTGATGGAGCAACATCAGAACTGAATGTTACTTGCAGAATCATAACAGATTTCACTTCCCTCAAAATTTATAGAAGTGGGCCTTACAGCATCTGAATGTGGAATTAAACAAATAGATAAAAATAGTCATGTGCTTGAAATCTACCTCCTCGTAAACTGATGGGGTCATTATTGTGGGTAGGAAGCAACTTAAGTGTTTTATATTTGTGCTTCAAATCTCAGAAAATAATTTTATTTGTTTTTCATTGTCAAGATTTAAAACATCTTAGTTGGAGAAGAGATTTAAATACTTGGTGCCAGAGATATGACTCAAAATCATAATTCTATCCTCAAAGTCCAGAGTTTAGAGGATACAATCCAAGATGATATAAATCATTGAATTTGGGGGAAGGTTCTACCTATACTACTATAACTGTATTCTGATTAGAAATATGGGGCAGACTGAAAATATTTTTTGATACCCTAGAATGCAGATGATTCTGTGTAGCTTATTACAATTATAAAAGCTATCATTCAAAGGGGAAATTTCCATACTAAGAGAATAGGAGTAGAGATCAAATTTGAGTGCAGACTTGATATATGAACTTGAAGACATCTCCCTGAATATGCTGAGGGGCCCAGCATATTCATCTCACTTGTATCCATGTTTTCCTTCCTTCGAGTCTAGCATCTTAAAGTCGTGTGGCATTTAGTTTCTTTTTCTGTGTATCTCTCTCCTTAAGATTTTTTTGTTTTACTTTCCTGGATCCCTTTGCAATAATTAAATTTTGTGAAGATGTTCTAATAGTTGTTATAATAGAGGAAGGGAAGGCACACCAGAGGTTGTCCTGTCACCCCCAAGATGTCGTCTTAAATTACGTTCCTTATTGTAGCACCTTTTCCACTCCATGGGAACCATGCAAGGATTAGAACAGATGGTGTCAGAGCATGGCCCTGCGGCATGCCAGCCAGAGAAGCCTACTACTATCAAGTCACGTCTGTGGAAACAGATGTCAGAGAAGTTCTTGAAGGGGGAACCCAAAATCCTTGGGGTAAGTCATTTGCCAATGTGGGGAAAACAAATGGTTTTGTAAAATCACAACTTGATCACACCTAATGCTCAAAAATACTCTGTCCCACCAAGCTCACAATATATCAGCTAGTCCTGGAGACATCAATATTTGATATTCTCTTGAAAACTGACACACTAATTTATTATATCATGCTTCTAATTTCATTTAAAATACAGTGCATGTATGTGAATCAGGGATATTGGTCTGTAGTTTTCTTATTTTGTGATGTTCTTGTCTGTTCTTGGTAACAGGGCAATAATGTTGGCCTCATAATATCTGTTTCAAAGCTTTCCCTCTTTCTCAGTTTTTTTTTTGGCGGGAGGGGGGGAGAGTTTGAGAATAGATATTAGTTCATCTAATCCCTTCCAGAGAAGGGATTAGTCTAAGGTTCTAGTCTAAGATTCAGATTTAGTCTAAGGTTGTGAGTCATCCATGATGACTTTATTTAGCTTCGACATGGAAGAGTAACAAAATAAATGGTCTCAAATGTGCTAGCTGTGTCCCTTCCAGACCTTCTTGAGGTCTAGTGCTGATGGCCATATTATTACTGTCTCTCTCTGGGGAATTTCCTTAGCCTGCTTCTTAGAGGATGAAAGTCCTCCTTTGTGTGTGTCTGGATTCTCAGGTGAGTGTGTATAAAAGAAATGGATGGTTTAAAGAAAGGCAGAAGATGTGGTACATATATACTATGGAATATTACTCAGCATTCAAAAAAGATAAACACATGCAATTTGCAGCAACATGGATGGCACTGGAAGGGATCATGCTCAGCGAAATAAGCCAGAAAGAAAAAGAAAAATACTGGATGGTCTCACTCATAGCAGGAATCTAGAAAACTTAAATAAGGGACCAGGAAAACGAATAACTATAAGAAAGTGAAAATCAAAATCAACAAAAAACTACGAACCAGAGACACTTTTAGGGGGCGGGGGTGGGAGGGGAGGGATTGGGGTCAGAATGGGGGGGCTGCAATTGTATGGGGAATATAAAAATAAAATTTATTATTAAAAAAAATAATAATAGCATAACAGTTATAGTAAAAAAAAAAATAAAAAAATAAAGAAAGGCAGGTTACGACAGGTGGATGGATAGTGGCAATAGAGTTTTATCTGTAACTCAAGCTTTAAACCAGGAGGACAAAGTCATTTGATACTTTGGATCCTTTTTAATGCCACAGGGTATCTGTCCTCCAACTCCTGTATTTCTAGATCCCATGCTCACTCATGTCCCTGAACCCCAAGCTCCAAGAGAATGTTCTATTGCTCTTCTCTTTTTCTTCCCCTGTATAGATTATTTCTCCTTTTTACAGAGTATTTATCCTTCCAGAATAATTATTTCCTTCCTAATTTCTGTCTGAGCTTGTGCAATGGAGAGCAACATTTGTGGTAGAACAGCCCCACAGGCATTAATGCAGGCTCTCTAGGGAGGTCCTGGTATTTGTGCTACTGTTACCTTGAAGTTATTGGGGCAATTGGAATAGTCCAAGAAGTGAGTAAATAAGCATATCCATGGTTCTTTATGTGAAAAATAAGTGACAAGAGAATAGCAAGAAGACCATTGACTCTTCAAACAATGGATGGTGAGGGTAACAGTGGTCGGGGAAAGTAGCTTTGGTGTCACCTTTGCAGTGGACAAGCTTTGCTCATCATTTCCAGGTTGTGCAGGTCCTGATTGCCCTGATGAACATCAGTTTTGGAATCATAGCAATGACTGCCACGTTGCCATTTTACGGACCACAACCCTTTTCAGTGTATACAGGCTACACAATTTGGGGGTCAGTGATGGTGAGTAGGATACCTTCTGATATGGTTGGAGGCAATACAGCATAATTGTTATTATGCTAAGCTTTGGAATCATAGCCTAACCTTATCTTGTAGCGCTGTAACTTTGAGAAATAGAGCTAACCTTTGACTTAGTTTTCTCATTTTAAATATATCTAACCTTTTGACTCGATTTTCTCATTTTTCTAAATTTTCTCATATTTAAAATGGGAACAATAATATAAAACTCACGGAAAGCTGGAAAGATTATTTACTATGTATCAATTAGGATGTAATACAGTAGCATATAGCAAAAGGCCCCAGCCAGAGCAGAAATAACATTGAAAAAAGTGATTATTTCACAAGAAACTGAGTGGCTCTGCATTTTTGAAGTTGTTAATTCAGTAGTAGAGAGGTCTCATTGAGGACTTATGGCAGACACATCTCGTTAATAAATGTTTTATATGCATAAATGTCTTACATTTCCAAGCCAACTATCAGCAGGAAATAAAGAGGTTACCTTTATTGGGTTGGACTAATCAAGATTCATTTCTGTGACTGGGAAGATTCACTGAATGAAAATAATCTCTAGTTTCTTTTCTTTTATAATGCCTTATTCAATTTTTGGTACTATGTTAAGATTATTTCACATGAGAAATTTAGAAACTTTCTTCTAGATTTCAATGTCCTCGCACAGTTAAATACCAATGCAGTTGAATATTTTTGGAAAGGCTTCATAAGTTCTGTGAACCCATCCGCTAGAATTTCTCTTGTTTTTGGTAAAGAGGGACAGGTATTTACAAATGCTCATATTTCTTCTAACAAAATTGATTTGTTGTATATCTTTATCACATTTTGGATATGTTTTAGTCCGTATGACCTCAAATATCAGTTTAAGGTTTTTTACCTGCATTTTTCCTCTTTTTACTAGTTTATTGTTTCAGGAGCCTTATCAGTCGCAGCAGGAGTTAGAACTACAAAAGGTATGGTGAGTAATCTATTTTTTGTTGGTGGAGTTGTCCCAAAAGAAGGATTAACCAAGTATGTATTCTGCCAGAATAGAGTTTGCTTTTTAAGGAAAAAAAACCCAAAACACATAACATGCTAACCTTTACTACATTGAACTGGTCTTTCAAAAATAATAAAATTAGCTGATAGTAGAATTAATGACAGAAGAGTGAATAGTTTGGGAAGGTAGTTGCTGAGAAAATCTTGAGAACAAATGTCAAGCAGGATACATTAAACAAACCCTTGAGTTCCAGCCCATGACAATGACACCATATGCTGGTGTAGCATAATATTTCTTGATTTTTTGATTAAAATATGTATTCCAACTGTGTGCAAAAATTTTTTGTTTTGGTTTGCACCAACGGAAGTATACAATAAGGCTATTAAATAAGAAGCAGCAAATTTCAAACATAACTTCCATGCCAGGACACCTTAGAAGGCAAAGCCCATATCTCAAGAGATTTTTTCCTTGCCGAAGATCATATTTGAGTTTTCTTTTCCCAGCGAACAAATACCAAACCACAGAGAATTATCAATGTGACTCTCACCATCCGACTTCTTCTGCCTACCTTTGCATCTCCTCTCCTACTTCCTTGAGGGATGTTAGTTCTGATACAAAGTCTCCATAAATTCACCATAAGAAGAGAATATGGGTGGCCTCCCTGGTGGTGCAGTGGTTGAGCGTTGGGCTGTGAAGCTGCCCGCAGCCTCTGCAGCGCCGGTTCAATCCCCGGCCACCGGCTAGGGTCCCACATGGTGCCACAGACCTCTCCTGCTGCGCCCGCTGCTCCCCTCAGCAGTGTATTTTGTCAGTCTGCCTGTTCTGTCCCCGCTCTGGCTCTGGTGAATTCTCTTACCCTTCCGCGCTTCTGACTGCACCCAGTGCTTGTATAAATAAATAAATAACTCCTTAAAAAAGAAGAAGAAGAAGAAGAGAATATAGGGAGAGGAACTCACAGCAGAAGGAGATAACACATAAAAGACAAAGAGGCATGAGAGGCAAACAGTGATTAGGAAAAAAAGAAAAAGAAAATCACAGGAAGCCACCTACTGGAAGCTGAGTGTGGTAGATGTGACAAACAGGGTTGTCTCCTAAAGAGAAAGGGTATTAATAGTTCTACAAAGGAGTCTGGCATTGACCTCAATGGGCCCACAGGAGTCATCTGAAAGATTCAAGCTTTGGCAAGAGATTAGAGTTGAAACTACTCTAAAGAAAGAGATCGGTTAGAAGACAGTGCAATGAGCAAGACGAGATGCTATGTCAGGCAAGAAGTAGTGGGTGCAAGTGACTGGCAAGACATACTGAGGATGCTGTTGGGCTGTTTAATGGGTTTTCATTCCTTTCTAGGTCCAAGGCAGCTTGGGTGTGAATATCGTCAGCTCCATCTTTGCTGCATTAGGGATCATACTCCTGGCAATCAGCTTAAGTGTATCACAATTTCACTATCATTACTGTCACTATGGTCAGAAGGATCATTGTTTCATGATCAACTCCATTTTAATGGTGAGTGGTTCCTCATCACACTGGATAGTGTGGTAGAAGCAAGTCAAAGGAGCCTTGGCTCTGGTGGAAGTAACAAGCATTTCTCCCTGATGAATGGATCAGTTTGGGAAGCTGGAAGTCACTGAGAAATAGGACAGACAATGTTTTACTTAGGAGTCTTTGTTATGACTTTGTTCTAGGGTCTGGATGGCTTAGTGCTGATTTTGAGTGTGCTGGAGTTCTGCATAGCCGTGTCCCTCTCAGCCTTTGGATGCAAAATATCCTGTTGTAATGGTGGTGGAGTGAGTATTGGATTCCTTATTGCTTTTCTAAAGTTGTGCAATAAATTGGACAAACTTAGAGGCATAAACCAATGCATATTTATTATCCCACAGTTTCCATGAATGGAGTCTGGGAACCACTTAGCTGGGTCTTCTGCTCAGGGTCTTATAAACCTGTCATCTAGGATTTTTCTAGGGTTGCAGAGTCAGCTGTGATCTCTGTGATCCTTGAGTCCTCAGATCTTGTTTCTACTCAGCTGTCAAACTCACAACAATCTACTTTTACTTTGGGGCCAACAGAAAGTAAAAGTCTCTGGTGCTTTAAGGCCCCATGAAAGGGTTCGTTCACACCATTAGGTCAAGCATCCTTTTGACGCCATGTCAATTGATTGCTAGTAGTGAATCCACAGGAGCAATATATCACATACACGCACATTCCATGTCACAGCATAGTATATCATCATGTCTCATATTCACATCTCACCCATGCTCGGGGTTGGGGGGGGGATTACAGTGGGGCATTACAATGGGTCACCGATGTCATCTTAGGATTCTGTCTACCACAATGGATGAAGAAAAGCTGTTTTCCCTCTATCCTTACTCCCGCAAAGGGCCTCCTCTCTCAGTCCAGATCAGAGCACACTTCTCAGTGGAGAGGTCCAGAGAGAACGAGATTTTACTCCACAATTCTATGATAACAACCTTCCCTGGGCTACCGAAGAAAGTCAGGGCTTCCGTATCTCTCTCCCTGTGTGCACATCTGTCTGATGCCTGATATGAGACCTGCAGCAGGTTCTCCCGGCTGCTCAGCAGAAGGAACACCAGAGAGAGAGGACCGGGAAACGGGAGAGGAAGTGAGCCCGAGAGTCACTAGGAAGAAGAGAACAAGGATGTCTTCCAATAATGGAGGGTTCCAGGATGACCAAATGGGTATTAAAACCCCAAGAGCTACTTATTAATGTCATCCCCCCAAATCCAGGGTCAGACAAAACCTGAGCCAAATCATAAAATGTAACAGTTGGATGACAGTAACTTTCTGGTGCTCTTCTCTGCCATTTTGTGACTCTTTACTGCCTTGGGGGCAGTTCCTAATGCACCCCTTGTTCCACCTGCATGGCCCTTCCCCACAGAAGACTAAGTCCATGAGTGACCCTAGAAGTTGGAGTGTCTCAAGAGTCCCCAATAATTCTGTGATTTTGTTAAGTGAAGCATTTTATTTTCCTTGAGTGAAACATTTGGGTTAGGGAGGAAACTCCTTAACCTTTATATCACAGTATCTAAGTCTAGAAATAGTGTTCCCTGCTGTTTCTAGATCATTTCAAAGTTAAGAAATGTCCCACCAAATATTGTTCCCACTAATTCCATTAGTTTCAGAGCGGGGGAGTATGAATCAAAAAGAGCAATGGCTGTGGGGCATCTGATGCCTAAGTCTTTGTCTCTTGCTGGTTCTCACATCAACTCCCCACCCTGTTCCATTTCACAGAGTTTGTGGAAGAAAGATTAGCATTTCCCCTAGTTTTCTGAGGATCCCTGCCATCCTGGATCAGGATGGTTTTTTAAAATGCTTTAGTCATGGCCAGCAAATCATGGGCTGGGTGTGTTGCTGCCATCAGCATAAGCAACCTGACTTGGAAGAAGAGTTACCTATGTTCCATAACACCCAGACTGACCCAATCATTGGGCACCGTCCTCTATAGTAAAATCAATCCATTGGCAAGACAAGAGCCGTCAGCAAGAACTACTACTGAATGTTTTCCTTAGCTCTAGCCTGATCTAGGAGTGCCTAAGAAAGCCACCAAGTTGGGGCCGAGACTGAATTCAGACTGTATAGACAGAAAGGGAAACCCTGAGGTTATATGCTTGACTCACCTCTATATTCTGATTGATTTCACAGGTTGTGTTCATTATGCCATCGAATTCTCACATGGTAGAGACAGCTCCTTCTGCACCATATGAGGGTGTTTGAGGCCACCAGCAGATCCGCAGAAAAATGTGCCAGAAAATCTGTTGTGACAGTAATGCAAGACCCCTACTTAGGAAAGAACCAGAATCATCTCAAGACCTCATTTCAGTGGCTTTATCTCAGTCATAGCAGGACTTAAAATCAATCAGGTGTAGGGCCTCCCTGGGGGCGCAGGAGTTAAGACACAACCTATGAAGCAATCTGCAGCCACTGCAGCATGAGTTCAGTTCCCGGCCGGCCAGGGAGAAACCCACATGGCGGGACAGACCTCTCCTGTCTCGCCCGCTGCTCCCCTCAGCACTGTACTTCGGTCTGTCTGCCTGCCTGTCCCGTTCCCGGCTCTGTCTCTGGTGAATCCTCTCACCCCCCACACCTCTGGCCTATACACCAATTCTTGTATAAAAATAAAAATAAATCTTTAAAAAAATCAATCAGGTGTGAAATGAGTCAATAGTGCTCGACAGGTTTTATCTGTCTTCCGGACATAGTAGATTGATTTTATGTTAGCAAATGCAATTTTACAAATGAAGGGAAAAGAGAGATTTCTGGCCTGAGGCCTCCCAACGTATTTCTGCTTCCGTGGACAATACCTTTCGCTTGTTTAACTGTCTTTTTGCACATTTGGGGACACAGAGTGTATTTCCTCTCAGAAAGGTGAAGTTCATGGCTTTACCCACTTCCTTTCTTCCTGTTTTCCTACCCCCACAGAGATGCGCTGGGCTGCCACCGTCGGCTCTCATGGATCGGTTTCAACTAGTATGTTCTATCTCTCTCTCTTCACATTAACTTTCCTCTTCCCGTCTTTATTTCTTTCTCCCCTGCAGGAGAGGATTATACCGTTAATCAAATTTATATAAAGTGCCACATAAGGGATTGTGGAATATGGGATATTTACTGAATGTACTTTAAATACATTTGGGTTACTACAGAGCCAAATACATGAGATTAGAAGCAATAAGTTCAAGTACCACCTTCTTCCCATTCAGATGAGATGTGGTGAGACTTGAGGTTGATATTAGGAAGTATAGACAGTACAGTGTTAAAGAAATGAAAATACCTTTGATTCAATGATTCAGAAGCTGTATCCTGAGGTTTGTTTTAACTCTACTTTTTTAAAGTTTTTTTTTTAAGATTTATTTATTTATGCGTACAAGAACTAGGGTACAGGCCAGAGGTGGGGGGAGGTGAGAGGATTCACCTGAGACAGAGTGGGGAACAGAACAGGCAGATCCACTGAAACACATTGCTGAGGAGAGCAGCAGGAGAGACAGGAGGGGTCTGCCTCACCATGTGGGTAGCTCCCTGGCCAGCCGAGGATCGAATTTGTGCTGCAGAGGCTGCAGATTGCTTCGTAGTGTGGTGCTTAACCCCTTCCGCCACCAGGGAGGCCCAACTCTGATTTTTAATAAAGAATTTTTACTGTTTAAGCTATTTCAATCAAGTTCCTTATTAGGCATCACATAGGGTTTTATCATTTTTCTTCTACTATGAGTTATTCATATTCTTTACCTATTTCTTTTTATACTATTATGCATAGAAATTTTCATATTAGTGATACTAATCCATCAGCTATGTTCTATTATGCACTTATATTTCCAGTCTATTTTTCTTTAGCATTTATTTTGGTTTCTCTTGCTAAAAACTATTTTTAAGTTTAATGTGGAGAATGTTTATTATTTTATTTATGGCTTCTATTATCATTCTTAAATTTTTCATTTTCTCATCCCAATTTCACATCCCAAATTTACAATGTAAAGCTATACTATTTTTACTAGTATTGTTTAATATTGTGAAACAGTGATATTAAATGTTAATATTTTGCCTTATAATAAAGACATATTTGTCTATTGTAAATCACAATCTTCTTTATTTTGTATGTGTTTAATGACAGCTCCTTCCCTCACTAATTTTCTTTTCCAGCATTTCATTTGCATTTTACAGTGTCCACTACACAATTAATCCCATTTGTTGTGATAATCATAGTGTAAAATTCCTCAATGGAATCACTATTCCTTTCTCCAATTTATGCACAAGGTTGGAATTTACCACCCCACATCCCCAACTTCCCCACCCCCAGATTCTTTCTAGATCTGGAAATGGCAGAATTGCATCAACTCAACTAGAGGAACCCATCCTGAGATAGTCTAAGAAAGACCCTTTATGTGAATGAATGGTATTTCCAATCAAAGCTAATTCTAGCATTTTTTGACCAGTCTCCTTCTTACGTCCTTTCTGTTAGGCTTAAAACTATGAGGGTCTGAATCTGTGCTATTAGCAGTCATCAGATTAATGTGTGAATCTTATACTAGACCAACGCTTACTGACGAGAGCAGAGTGGTTCCAAGTCAAAGTCCCTAATGATGGCCTTTAAGTCTCCAAGTCAAGGTGTAAGAGGATGTCCAAATAGAACTCATTTTACTTAATGCTTATTTAATCATTTTAAATCTTCCATTCCCAAAGTTCAAATGTAACAAATTTTATATGTTATTTTCTTTTTTTTTTTGTTGTTATTTTCTTTTTTTTTCCTCAAAGATTTATTTATACAGGAACCGGGGTACAGGTCAAACACGTGGGAGGGTGAGAGGACTCACCAGAGACAGAGGGGGGAGCAGAACAGGCAGACTGACGAAATACACTGCTGTGGGGAGCAGTGGGTGAGTAGGAGAGGTCTGTCATGCCATGTGGATTGCTCCCCAGCCCGGGGGGATCGAACCGTCATGGCAGAGGCTGCAGACAGCTTCACAGTGCTGCGCTCAACCGCCTGCACCACCAGGGAGGCCCATATGTTGACTTTCTTAAGCCCCCTTATTTACGTTCTATAAGAAGCAACTGGTGCGACATTTGCTTCTTATTTCAGCTGTTATTTCATATTAAAATTCAGTTCTACTCCCTAATGCCTTTATCTGTTAATATCCAGACAGTGTTAACCTGGACTCAAAGGTGTTTTCTTTCACGTAACACCAATCCTGGAAACAAAATGACACAAAGCTATAAAAATCAATTTCTGAATTAATTAAAATACATCCTTTGGTTTGATTTTTTTAGTTTACTGTGTGTTAAACACAGAAAAGATACACAAAGCCAGTTTCTTTTGATTGCCTGGTGAGTAGGGAAAAAAGTTTACCAACTTCTAAATTGCAAATATGATTTAAACAAAGCTGACCAAGCATTTGGCTTCCCTTTTCAGCCTCTTTAAGCTCAGCAATTTTTTTTACTGACTGAGACTTACTGAGATTGCTAATGTTCATGTGATTTTCAGGAATTAAAGTAATTTTGATTAACTGTGTAGGGCTGATAATATTAGACATTTTAATATTTTTGTGAGCAACAGGTACATACATTCAGGCAGAGGAAGAAGTTCTGAAAGTCCCCTGTAGTTTCCTACTGTATTTTTTTATTGTCGATGGCCACAAAGCACAGAAAACACACACACACCTGTGTGCACTTACATTGTGAGACGTTCAAGGTAACTTGCTCCAGTCTTTCTCAGGTACCAAATACAGCTTCACCAGAATCAGTCCCGACCTTGCTCCCACCTTTTCAGTGAATTTCAACTTGACAGGTGCAGCTGACTACCAAAAGGGGGCGGGGGAGGGTCACAACCCAGCAGGGGGTCAGGCACCTCACTGTGCTCTGCAGCCCCAATATCTTCTAGGACAGTTCATTTCCCCTGCTCCCAGCAGCACAGTGCTTCAATCCACACTCATTACCTTTGAAAACTGATTTTTACCTTAATTGTTTTTTTCTACCTAGTCTCCCTTCCCTCTTAAATTCAATAAAGATGATGGAGAATAATGAAAATTTTGCCATTTTACCTCTAGCTCTGAAGTCACAGAAGCTACATCCATAACAAGTCCCCCAAATGCCATAAATCACATGCAAGCAGACGTACAAACATATGCATGTGTGTGAAATATACATGGAGTACACATATTGTGTAGACTTCATATATAATATATAAATTACATACATATATAATTCATATACATGCTAAATACACATATTCTCTAAGTTAGAAAGCCCTGGCAAGACCTGGGTGTAAGATCAGAGTTTTTCCTCTGATCAACTAGTTCTCTGTTGATAAAGACAGTCATTACTAAAACAAAATAATATCTGGATTACAAAATTTAGTTATTTAGCAATTGATTAAATTGTCTCAACATTGTTCTAATTTGTTTTGGAACTAAGAATAAGTTTGTGAATGATACTAATTTGCTTATACATTTATTGTTTTCACACAATCCAAATGTTCACCTTTCATTTGAATACTATTAGATGTTTTACAAGAAATTTGTTTTAGTTCACTTTAATAAATGGAGGTTTCATATTGCAAATATTTTTTTCACAAATATTCTTAAATTTTCTGCCTGGAAGATACCTGATCCCAAAATAAAGTCGATTCAAAGCTTTTGTTTGTAAATATTATCTCTTCTCTAGTCCCAATTAGATTGCCCACATCAGAAACTAATCATCAGCTGGGACCTTTGAAAGGACTCACCAGATTCCAGTGTCAACCACAGGACGTGGCCAGAGGAGGAGAGAACATGCAGGGAGAAGAGACAGTCTCCAGTACAAGAACCCTGCTGCCAGCAGAATCATGGATGCGGCTAGTCTGGGGCTTGGGTTACCCAGATCTGTGCAAGAAGCTCTCCCAACCCCCTACATCATCAAGCCAGGTGTATCGAACTCAGTAGATTAGTTGCAAACCATTAGTAGAGAAACCTATCAGGTGGGGGGCGGGTAGGAGGACATCACCAAGGTGGTTTGGGATTCTAAACAGTACAGCATAAATTCCAATGTTCTCATCTCGACCAGAGTTAAAATCCTCAAAGATGAAGATAGAGCTTTTCCGAGACAACTATAAATTAACTCTATCTCCACAATATATTTATTCGGCAAATATTTATTGAGCGTCTACTACATGCCAAGCACGTAGCAGGGAGCTAACCAAGTTGTCTATGACATTCTAGTTACAGGCTAGAATTACTCTCCAGGATGCAGCTTTAGCACATTGAATGCAGAATTCTCTCTTAAAAGTGACCAGTTCTCTAAATTTCATTTCCCCCCTGTAATTAGGCTCCTCCGATCCACAAATTCAGAAGAGACATTATGCAGTTCATTGAATCCCTCCATTTTTCAGTCATGTTACTCCACAATATGGTATAATAATATTGAAGTCAAGGCTAATGTAAAAGTAAATATGCTATGTGATTCTATTTATCAAAGCACCAGAACCAGGAAAAATAACCACTGCAGTAGAAGTCAATATAGAGTCTACCCCAGGGGTGTAGTGACTGGGGAGGAGCACAGGTTGTGGGCCTCCAAGGGCTGGCACTTTTTAATTTTTGGTCTAGAAAGGCTTAACATAGGTGGGTTCACTTTGTGATAATTCCTCAAGATGATTAATGTACTTTTTATGTTCCTCCAACTAAAACATCAGCATGAAAAAAAATAACAATAAAATAAAACATCAGCATGATTCCTTGTTTTGATCTCCATTTTCTGGAGATTCATGCTAAAACAATAAAAAGTTAATTTAAAAAAGATATTCCACATCCTTATGCAAATAGATTATACATAAAGGGATTGACCTATGAATATGTACATGAATTTGTCCATGTGTTAATCATATTTTCCAGGGCATCCATGCAGGGACAAAAAGTTACACCATTTTTTAAAAAAAAAATTACACCATTTAAATTTCCATTCCTAGTTAGACAGGAAAGAAAAATAATTAGAAGGATGTCCTGCGCAGAGCTTCTCATGAGATGGTTGGGAATCAATATTACACATTTTAAAATTTGTTGTAGTTTCCAAGGAAGCAAGAGTCTGAATCTCCTTCTAGCCCAGGCTTGTTTATACACAATCTGCTTTGCTTTAAGCCAATCTAAACGCCACCAAATTTAGACTCCATCCATCCCCATCTTAAAACTGTCCCTTCTCTTCCTTTGATTTTTAAGATGCCTCCTAGTTCCTCCAGTGTGTACTATATACCATGGCAACAAGTCAATAAACCTATTTTGTCGGAGAATGTGTTTGTCTCTGATGGTATTCATCCAATGGGTATTATTTATGTTTCTATAGATGATGTGATATATTGTACACACACACACAGAGATACACACAAATACATTGATGAATCATTTGAAAGTAAGTGCTTGATTGCATGATACTTGACCTTCAAGTACTTGGGATCTATTTCCTAAGAAAAACTATCTCCTTCATGATCTCAATACTATTGTCATATCCCAAAAATTATTACTATCATAATCCATACCCAGAAACTCTGAGATTAAGTTATCCGTGTTGTATATTTCATGGTAAGGCATAAATGTACCATGTTCTCTTAAATAATTGATCCTAATTATGCACGAGTGCTTAATATCAGTGGAGGAGTTAACCTACATCTTGTATTAGTTTGACATAAAGTAACATAACTAACACAAAGCACAGTTCAAAGCACCTGTCTATGCCAGGTAAGGCAATGCTTCCCCAAGTAATTGGGAGAGCAAGTGCGGATATTGGTCTATTTGGATATAGCATAAATCTTGTCACCATTAACTGTTTTCTCTAAAACAGTT